GGCTTTGTGTGGCATTTCTACCGGCCAAATGATGGAGAGAGCCAACAAGATAGGGCCTGGAGATGGAGTAGATTTGCAGCCTGGTCCGTTTGTGCCTCAGTTTCCCCTTGTGAAATGGAAGTTACAACGTTGTAGGACAGAAAACTGCTTCATTACACTCCCGTATAGTCTTATCTCTTTCGGGTACCTTCCATGCCTTATATATTAATTCAACTGATAACTGCATTTCTTTGGAGAATGTAGTCTATGTAGGATTCCACACATGAGGCCTGAGAGCCAAATCTGGCCCACCATCTTTGTGGCCCCACCCACCCTGTACTGGGGATTGAACCGGATTGAACCCAGGAGTACTTTATTCCTGAGCTATATGCCTTTTTTTAAAATTTTGAGATGGGGCCTTGCTAAGTTGCTAAGACTGTTCTTGGACTATCACAGCAGACTTGAGCAATTTGATCAGGGAATGTGTGACTCACAAAACCAAAAATATTATCTGGTCTTTTACAGAAAGGTTTCCAACCTCTGCTCTAGTTGGGATAGATAGTATTTACCATGGTCAGATTTTTTTTATTATGAAGAAACGGTGTAATAAGATGGCGTGAATAGAGGGCAAACTATTGCTTACAGGAGGTCTGGAGAAAGCCTCTAAGCACAAGCAAACTGTGAGCTGTGCAAATTTTCCAGAAGAATGGTCTGCGCAGAAATTACAGTAAAAACAAAGGCCCTGGGGCACATGAGCCTGAAAGGGTAAAAATGGGTCAGTTAAGTTGGTGATCAACGAGGTGGAGTAGAATCAGATGAATCTAGGCTGGGTGCTGAAGATGGAATATTTTTTTTTTCCTAGCTACAGTGTGGAGGGGAAAGAACTCTCTGCAGCAGGTAGAATTTGAGTTTTAGAAAAATTTGGATTGTAGTTTCAAAGAACAACCAAGAGGTTATATTCAACTTGTAGGGAGCCTGTGGGCAAACTTTGTCTGAGCCTTGGCCCCATCCATAAAATGACCAGACTCATTCCTTCCTAGCAAGGTTGACACAAGTATTATAAAGAATCTGCCCATGTGGAAGTCCCCAGTAAATACAGCTGCTGTGGCCAGGGATGTAGCTCGGTGGTAGAGCACTTGCCTAGCAGTGCAAGGCCCTGGGTCTGATTCCCCAGCTCTAGAAAAACAAAAGCCCAGCTCCTCTCCCTTGTATTGAGTCTCCTTTTGCCCTCGAGCGCCTCTTTCCCCAAGGTATATGAGGCCCACGTGCTAGGTACTGACAGTTCTATGAGCCCGAGTTGCACTCTGTTGAAACTTTCTTGTGACTATTACCCTGTTTATGACTTTGTCAAGTTTCCCAGTCCTGTCTCTTTTGGCCATCTGTGGGATGGCCAAGTGGCCAACACTGGGGTCACCATTTTGTATTCAGGCTCTGGACTAAAGACATCTGGTTGCTGATTGAAATCTATGATCTTGTATAAACAAGTAGTTTTGGAGTCAGAGTCCCATGTAACTAATCTCCTAGGCCATAGGAAATGCAGTCCTAATACATAATCATAAAACCCTAATCATAAAACCCAAAATCTAGGGGGCTGTGTATGAGGCTTCTACTTAATTCCCAGCAAGTACACATAAGTAAAAATCCCTAAATCTGATTCCAAAATCCAAAACTTTGAGTATGAATATGTTGTCACTAATGGAAAATTCCATGCCATGAAACTTTCTTGCCCAAAATTGTTTTTTTTTTTTAAAAACAAACTTGTACAAAATTATATTCTGGGGGCTGGGGTTGTGGTTCAGTGGTAGATTGCTCACATAGCATGTGCAAGGCCCTGGGTTTGATCCTCAGCACCACATATAAATAATTAATTAAAGGTATTGTGTCCAGCTACTTCTAAAAAATAAATATTAAAAAATAGGGGCTGGGGTTATGGCTCGGTGGTAGAACACTTGCCTAGCATGTGTGAGGCAATGGGTTTGATTCTCAGCACTGCATATAAATAAATAAACTAAAGGTACATCAACATTAGAAAAAAAGCTAAAAAAATAAATATTAAAAATTATATTCAGGATGTGTATGAGACTTATATATGAAACATAATTTCATGTTTAGACTTGCATCCCCTCCCTAAGATATTGTTGTATATATGCAAATATCCCCAACTTAAAAAAAAAAAAAAATCTTTGAAATCCAAGATACTTCTGGTCCCAAGCATTTCAGGGGAGGGAAAATAAACCTGTGCTTCTCTTTAGGGTTGTTAAGCACCAAATTAAATAACTCTAAAGAGCTATTTAGGACCATTTATAAGTTCTATTAGATGTTAAATTAATATGTATTTATTTTGGGCTAGGCATAGTAGTGCATGCCTGAAATTCCAGCTACCTGGGCTGAGGCAGGAGTATTGCAAGTTTGAGGCCAGCCTCAGCGACCCAGTGACACTCTCAATAATTTAGCAAGACCCTGTCTCAAAATAAATAAGGGCTGGGGATGTGGCTCGGTGCTCCTGGGTTTAATCCCCAGTAGCACAATAAAAGAAAGTTGTTAATTTTATATTTATCAATTCTAAAATTAACATAAAACATTAAAATTACTTTAACCAAAATATTAAGATTAAAAACATTAAGATTTTTCAGTGTTCCAGCAACCTGCCATATGTGATTGATGCATAACAAGGTTGGACATTTTGGGATACCAAATACTTTGGTACAAAAATATAAAAATATGTCCAACTTAACATGCCATACTAGAACTTCGTCAGAGATAAAATACCACATTAAAAAAATCTTAATAAAAAAACCTAAATAGTGTTTTTCGTACTAGGGATTGAAGCAGGGATGCTTTATCACTGAACTACATCCCCAGCTCTTTTTATTTTGGGACATAGCCTCATTAAGCTGCTAAGGCTAGTCTCAAATTTAAAATCCTCCTGCCTTGGCCTCCTCTTGTGATTATAGATGTGCACCACTGTATCTGGCCTAAGTTTTTGTGGTACTGGGGATTGAACCCATTGCTTGGCTGTTACTAGGTAAGTGCTCTGCCACTGAGCTATATCCCCATCCCTAGTTTCTTCTTTTTTTATTGCAATAAAAAGCCACCTAAAATCGATCTTTTTTTTTTTGTGTGTGTGTGTGTGTGTGTGTTACTAGGGATTGAACCCAGGGCACTTACATATGCTAGGCAAGTGCTCTATCAAAGAGCTACATCCCAACTCCAAAATTTACCTTTTCTTTAGAGACTTTAGGATCTTGCTTCAGGCTGGCCCTGAGCTCGAGTGATTCTCTGCTTCAGTCTCCCTAATGCTGGGACTACAGGCTCAGTGTTTTACCTTAGCTACCATCTTCACCCTTTTTAAGGGTACAGTTCAGTAGTGTTAACTATATGCATATTGTGCAACAGATTTCTGGAAACTTTTCATTTCATGAAACTGAAACTCTACATGCATTGAACAATTCCCCTTTTTCCACTCCTTTTCATCCTTGGTAGCTGCCATTCCGCTTTCTGTTTCTAAGATTTTGACTTTAGATACCTCATAGAAATGGAATCCTGTATCTATCTTTTCATGACTGTCTTATTTCATTTGTTCTCCAGGTTCAGTCATCTTGAAGCATGAGATGGGAATACTTTTTTTTAATATTCTTTAGTTGTAGGTGGACACAATATTTTAATTTTTATGTGGTGCTGAGGATTGACTCGGTGCCTCACACATGTTAGACGAGCACTTTTCCTTTGAGCCACAACCCCAGCCTGAGATGGGATTTATTTTTTGAGGCTGAATAATATTTCACTGTATGTGCCACATTTTCTTTTTCTTTTTTTTTGGTGCTGGGGATTGAACCCAGGGCCTTGGGCTTGCAAGACAAGCACTCTACCAACTGATCTATACCCCCAGCCCCTATATGACACATTTTCTTTACCCACTCATCTGTAGATGGACATTTTGATTTCACCTCTTAGCTATTGTGAGTAGTGCTTCAATGAAGATGGTTGTGCAAATACCACAAGATCCTGTTTTTTAATTCTGTGAATACATGACTGGAAGCTAAAACACACAATCCATGGGCTTGTACCCTGTGATGGTGCCAGGCAGAAGTGGGACTGTGGGATCACAAAATTCTATTTTTAACTTTGAGGAAATTTCATACTGTTTTCTATAGTGGCTGAACCATTTTTATCCCATTTCAGTTGTTTGTTTCTGTTCCACTGTTGGTTGATTCATTTGCTGTGCAGATGTTTTCAAGTTTGTAGACTCATTTGTGTATTTTAGCTTTTGTTATATTCAAGTATTGTCAAATTCAATATCATGAAGCTTTCCCTCATGGTTTCCTCTCTAGTTCCATGTTTTCTTATATAGTCTATGGTTTCAGGGCTTACATTTAGTTCTTTAATCCATTTTGAGAGGTTGGGATCTAACTTTTTTCTTTTTTTTTTTTTTGTGGTGCTGGGGATTGAACCCAGGGCCTTATGCATGGAGGCAAGCACTCTACCATGAGCTATAGCCCCAGCCCTAACTTCTTTCTTTTGTAAGTTTTCCCAGAACCAGATATTCAACAGCCCATCTTCTTATGATTTGGTGCTGTATCAAATAGACAGGCCGTGGAGGTGTTCCCTCGCCTCCCTACAGTGTGAGATCCTTGGTGTTGGCTACAAATTCTGGGTATCCTCAAGATTTTCTGGAGTAGGTGCTATTAGCCCGATCTATAAAGAGAACACTGAGGCTGAGTCAAAGTGTTCAGCCCAAGGTCATACTGTGAACAAATGGAGGTTGGATTGGAACTGAGGGCTGTAACTCAAGAGCTCAAATGCGGGCTTTTAATTCCCTCGAACTGCTGGAGGCTCCACTGCCCTCATGCCCGCATGCCCGCATGCCCTCAGGCCCGCAAGAATGAATGAATGACTGTCTCCGACACTGCGCCCCCTAGACTGCAAATGTTAGAGGAGCTTGGACGAACCCACTGCTCTGGGGGGGGTGCATGCCCGCCTCACGCATGCGCAGCCTCGGAGCACAGCCCGCTCCGCTCTGTCTGCCCGCATATGGTACGTCCTTCCTTCCCCCGTGCCCCGTGCAAGGGTGGTACGCGCTGCCTCCGCTCGCCGCCCCTCCCCGTCAGTTTCCGCGCGAAAAGCTGGGGCTGTCTGCTCTGCTGCCGCGTCTGCTGCAGTCTCCGAGATGCCGGCCCGCACCGCCCCAGCCCGGGTGCCCGCGCTGGCCATCCCGGCCATCTCCCTGCCTGACGATGTCCGCAGGCGGTACGTATTGTGGGGGACAGTCGGCCCAGGGAGGGGGAGAGGCAAAGCATTAGGGTGGGGGGTCGCTTTCCCTCCAGGTGGCCCGAAGCCGCTGCTGACAGCCGGGCACGCATGCGTAGGGATGAGGCGGCGCGCGGCTGTTGGCGCGGGCAGGGTGGCACTTCCGGTTGCGCGCTCCCCTTGCTGTTTGGCGCCAAAATGGGCCGAGGTCCCTCTAAACTCCTTGGTGACTAAAAACTTGGATTTTTTTTTTTTTTCTGATCCCCAAATAGAACAAGCTTTGGGTTCGTCTAGGCGGCTCCCCTACCCGAGCAGCTATGGGCCGCGCTCTCGCCGCCAGCCTAGTCGCTCAGGAAGTGGGCAGCCCAGGGCCTCCAGACACCCCTAAGTCCGGGTACTCCGGCCTCCACTTCCGGTGCCCGGCTGGCTCCCCTCGGGTGCTTGGGGACCCTTGGGCATCTCCTTTGATGCTTCCTCCTCTCCCTGAGCTGTGCATCCTGATGGAGGCTTCCAGAGATGGACGTTACTGCTCGGGGTCCCGGGTGTCTTCCACCCGGGCTCTGTCCCTCACCTGGGACTACAAGGTCCTTGCCCCGCGGGGGAACTTGTGTTTCAGAAGGAGCGCTTAGAGTGCATGTCAGGCCTGGGCAGCATGCAAGCTGGTCTCTCTGATAGTAAATCTGCGCCCATAAGCCTTGGGCCTCAAGGAAGCCTTCACAGCGAGGATTGGTCAGTGTCCAGTGTGCACCTAGGAATAAGTGAGGGATGACGGCTGATGGAGGGGACCCCCCCCCGCCCCCAGCAGTGCTTGCCCTCGTAGGGCTTCTGTGCACAGGGATTGGCGGGAAGATGGCCTGGCCTCTTGCTGAAGGACATCCATTCATTCCTGAAAAACTTGTTCCAAATGAGGTGCGCATTAGTCATGGGAACCCTGGCTGGATCTGGACACTTCATCTAGATTTGTGAACTTAATTTCACCATCTTTTATTTCCACCGGCTTGTACCCTGTGATATTTTGATTTGGCGAGTTTTGATTTGGGCTTTGGAGAATGAAGTAGGAAGGGGGCTATTTGATTCATACTACTTCCCTTTAACACTTTTCTTTTTTTTTTTTTTTTTGGTAAGGGGGATTGAGGCCAGAGGTACTTTCCCATTGAGCCACTTCCCAGCTCTTTATTTTGAGACAGGGTCTCACTAAGTTACTTAGAGCCTCCCAGTTGCTTGAGACTGATCTGAAACTTGAGATCCTCCTGCCTCAACGTCCCAAATTGCTGGGATTACAGGCATGGGCTCCCACACTCAGCCTGATTCACCCTATTTTTTGGTACTAGGGATTGAAGCCAGGGGCACTTAACCACTGAGCCACATCCTCAGTGCCCCCCCCCCCTTTCAATTTTTTTTTTTTAATTTTAGAGAAAGGGTCTGGCTAAATTGCTGAGGCTGGCTTTGAATTCAGAATCCTCTAGCTCAGTCTACTGGGTTGCTGGGATTACAGGCGTGCACCACCGTGCCCAGCTTCACACTTTTTTAAAATATATATTTTAGTTGTTGGTGGACTTTATTTTATTTATTTATATGCAGTGCTGAGAATCGAGGCAAGTGCCCTACCACTGAGCCACAACCCTAGCCTTTCACAATACTTCTGAACCCACAGTTAGAAAGTTTACATCTTATTGAGTCTGTATCCCCCACATGCCCCCTACCCACAAAATAGAACTTGATTTCAAATGAAATAATCGGAGTACCTGGCTTCATGATATTAACAGTTCAGAAGTTTGCACCCCCCCTTCTTGTTATAGTCTCAAGTACCAAAAATAGTCATCTTTCAGGGCAAGCCACATTTTCTTCAGCCTGGTTGTTCTTAACCCAGTTGACGTTGCCATCATTTGCTCCATAAGCGTGATCTCCCCTTTGTCTTCTGGTGTTTTTTTGGTTTGCTTTTTTTTTTTTTTTTTTTTTTGGTGTGGTTCTATGGGTGGAACTTGGGGCCTTTTGCTTGCTAGGTAAGTGCTCTACCACTGATCTATATTCCTAGCTTTCAGTTATGTCTTCTACAAAGTAGAAACTGTGATCCTGTTAAAAGACCAGTTGGAGCCAGTAGTTTCCCTGCTCCATACACTTCCTTGCACACTTGGCCAGAATTCCCATTGACCTCCCCACCTCATCTTGTGCTCTTCTCATAAACCGCACATGCCTTCTCTCGGGTTCCCTGGTGACTCTCAGGTCCATACAGAGCAACCAGCATGAGGCCGGATGCCACCGACCCCTTCCCCAAATTGATTTCTGTCCATCCCCTCCCCCCACCATCGTAACAAGGGTCCCTCACTTACTAAGCATGTGCTCTACCACTGATCTGCACCCCACAGCCTTATCCATTCTTAACCCTTCCCCTTAAAAATAGTCTGGCTTCCCTGCAATAAGTAGCCTTGAATTCATTTTAAAAATAACCATTAGCTTGTTGTCTAGATATTGAACCCAGGGCCTTGCGTGGCGTGCTAGGACAGAGCTCTACTTCTGATGTGCACCCCTGGCCTAGAAGGGTGTTGATCTCTGTTTACTCTGCTTGTTGCCTTTGCTACTTGAGTTTTATTATTTCAAGTAGCATTAGACCATGTTTGCCTTGTTCATTGTATCTGCAGCTTGGTGCACATACACATGAGACTCTTTAAGAGTTTGCAGTCAGATTTTTCCTGTAAGGAAGCCTAGATTTACGATTCTAGCAGCAGCCTCTGCATGGCTGATTATCGTTTGTTTTTTTTTTTTTTCTTTTTTTGCCCATGCTGGGGATTGAGCTCTGCCTCATGCATGCTGAATAAGCACTGTGCCATTGAGCTACACACCCAGCCCTGCTGATTAGCCTTTGTAATTACTACAGCTTTCTTATCTGCTAGTCATTCTGTGATTAAACTGGGTTTTGAACCTTACCTCTTAATTTCATGGCCGCTACAGAGCAGATGTTGAAAAGAGCAAAAATGACTTATCTTTTCTAGTTCTTCCCTACAGTAGGATTTTAGGGATGCAAACTACAGGGGTTCAAATCCTGTACCATCCCTTACCATCTTTGTGGCAAAGCCATCTAACCTCTTGGTGCTGGTGCCCCATCTATAAAATGGGGATGGGGCTGCCCCTTTATGGTATTACAGATTTAGTACAAGGTGTAGGTGTGTTGAAGCGCCTGCCTGGAGGTCTTTATCGCTTGTTATCGTGTGCTCAACCTTGTATTTCACTTCTATCAGGGAAGCATAATTTATATTGTATGTACAGATCTGATACCCTGGCAGATGTTAGTGTGGCCATGTAGTCTGCAGGAGATGAGGGATACAGGGATAGGTTTACTTCTTATTCCAACCTTATTTGTTGGCTGGCTTCTTCTGGAATCATCTGGGCTCTTTTTTTTTTTTTTTTTTTAAGTGGTGCTGGGGGTGGAATCCAGGGCCCCACATGTTAGCTAGGCAAGTGCTATATCACTGAGCTACATTTCCGGCCCTGGGCTTGTTCTCTTTTGCTGGGGATTAAACCAATGGCTTTACACCTGAGTGGCAGGTTACTACTACTGAGCTATATCTTCAGCCCTTCTTATTTTTTTTTTTAACTTTATTTTTTGGTACTCAGGGATTGAACTCGGGACACTCAACCACTGAGCCACATCCCCAGTCCTCTTTTCTATTTTATTTAGAGACAGGGTCTCCCTGAGGCTGGCTTTGAACCCATGATCCTCCGTCTCAGCCTCCTGAGCCACTGGGATTACAGCCATGCACCACTGTGCCTGGCCTCTGCAGCCTTTTTTAAATTTTGAGAAGGTCTTGCTGAGTTGTCCAGGGTGGCCTCAAACTTTATCTTCCTGCCCCAGCCTCTAGAGTTGCTGGGTTTATAGGCAAGTGCCACCACACTCGGTTCCAGTCCTATTCTTAAACCTTTTTTTTTTTTCCCCCTAGGCATTGAACCCAGGGAGCTTTGTCACTGAGCCACATCCCCAGTCTTTTTTTAAATCTTGAGTCAAGCTCTCCCTAAGTTCTTAGGGACTTGCTAAGTTGCTGAGGCTGGCCTTGAACTTGTGAGCCTCCTGCCTCAGCCTCCCAGGTCGCTGGGATTACAGATGTGCACCACCACTCCTAGAGATTCTTCTCTCTTAAGAGATGTGGTGGCTTTGTCTTCCTTTATCTCTCAATATCTTGCTTCTCAATTCTTAACTTTCGATTTCTTGAGGTGTATACCACCAGGGACCCTCTCTTCCCCGACTTCCATTTTATTCCTTCCATTCCAGTCCTACAACTACTTTTAGCAGTTGGGGTACCAGCTGGAGATGCCAATTTTAATGCCTATCTCGAGTGCCAGTTCTAATTTCTAGTTGCTGAATAATCGTCTCCTTAGCTGCTGCGGGGCTGGGCTGGAGCTGTGGTAGAGGGCTCGCCTAGCATCTGAGGTCCTGCATCTGGTCTTTCACACTGCAGACAACAACAAATTCATAGCCGCTGTTCACTACTAAAAGTTACAGCCTGTGTACTCTCCTTTCTCTCCACCAAGAAGTTTAGAATTTGGTAGTTTTTTAGTTGCTGCCATAACAAATTGACAGACTCAGTGGTTTAAACATCAAATGTTTATTATCATAGGTTGTGCAGGCCTGAAACTGGTCTCACTGGATGAAAAATCACGGTGTCCGCAGGCTGCATTCCTTTTTGGAAGCTCTGGGGGAGAATGTTTCCTGCTGTCCCGGGCGTTGGCTGAATTCAGTTCCTTGCAGTTGTAGGACTCGGACCTCCATTTTCTTGTTGACTCTGAGCTGAAGGCTGTTCCCAGCCTTTGAAAGGCTGTCTCATCTTTTGGCTCATGGTCTCCTTTATCTTTAAAGCCAGCAACTGCAGGTTGCATCCTCACATCTCTCTGACCCTTCTTCCATAGTCACATTTCTTTTGAAATACAGCTGGAAGGTTCTGTGCTGCTAAGGGCTAGATTAGAGATTAGATCAGGCCCACAGATCATGCAGGATAATCTCTTCATCTCAAGGGCTGTTGAACAATCACATCTGCAGGGTCCTTTTTGCCACATAAAAGAATATTCATGGATTCCGTAGGTTGGGGTATGAATATCTTTGGGGTATTTACTGTTTGCCTTCTGCAAATACCATTGGCTAGTTCCCTCTTGCCTGTGGCATTCTTAAGCAGGGTTGAGTCTTAGAACTTCTCTTACATAGCCCACTCCTATTGCCTAACCCATGTTTCTCACCAACATATCTGGCTTAGATGTTAGAGTAATTTAACATTTTGTAATTTTGCCTTCTCCAGGTTTTGGGGTGCTAGTGATCAAACCCAGAGATATTCTACCACTCGCTACATCCCCACCCTTTTTATTGAGACGGGGCCTCCCTAAGTTCCCTAGACTGTCATCAAACTTGTGATCCTCCTGTCTTACTCCCTTGAGTAGCTGGGATTACAGGCATTCACCACCTGTACCTGGTTATAGTGTGCCTCTGCCAGATCAGTTTTTCTAAAGCATGACTCTGGTATCATGGTTTCTCCCTCCCCTGTGATTCCTCTGGTTTGTTGACTGGGGAACAGAACTCATGATTTTTAGCCTGACATCCCTGACCTCCTTCAGGCTGTCACCATCCTTCACTCTCTGGTCTTGCCTTTCTGACCTGGTATGCTTGTCTGTTTCTTGGGTGTCTCCTAAGTGACATTCAGTACCCTGGTGCTCCAGCTTGGACAGCTCCCTCTGCCCAGGTCATAAGGAGCTCTTGGTTGCCCTGAGTCCCTCCTTGGTGGCCTGACTGCCCTTTCTCTGGGAAAGTGCTCAGATGTTGACTGTGGGGTATTGCCTTACTTCATATTGGTTCTATATTTCTTATGACTGATCTCTGAGGAATACAATTGGGAATGAATCATGAGATATCAGGTGGGCAGAGAGCTAAGGTTATATAGAGTTGAGTCCTCTGCTAAGTCTTGCTCCATTTCTAATCCTCCTAGTTATAACTGTCAAGTGGGCATGGGATGGCATAAATGTCACTAGGGGAAGGACCAACTCAAGCAAAGGCCTGGTGGCAGGGAGGAAAGCCGTACCCAGTGGCCAGCTTCCTTCCCACTAGCTCCTGGGATCCTGCTGTGGTTCACTTTGGGGACAGGAAGGATAAATGCAATCTTCAGATGCCTTAAAATATCTTGCCCCGTGAAGATGTGTTGCTCTTTGCCAGGCCAAATATCCCAGTGTATAGCAAGATTGAAAGAATTCAGACCTGCAGGTCTGTTTAATGCCCAGGTGTAAGAGATGGCTGAAAAGGGCACCTTGGTGGGCTGTACAGTCTCTTGAGCCATGTCCCTAATACCTGGGATAACCTCAGGATTCAGGCACTGTTCAGCTAGTCAGGGTAGAAGCTATGTCCTGCCACTTTGAAAACAGTGACCAGAGCCGGGAGTGAAGCTTAGTGGTAGAGTACTACTTCGCATGCATGAGTCCCTGGATTTGATCCCTATCACTGCCCCAAACCAAGAAACCAAGTGACTGAGAAGGCAAAAGTAATGCTGCTGCAGTAGCGTGTATGCCTCTGGCTGGTGATGCCCAGTTCTACAGCTGTCCTTATCGCAGGCTCTCCCTGGACAGTTGCTATGGGAATAGGAAGACATTTTTGCCTGCAAGGGGCTTCACGTGCTTCTGGAATTCTCCCACTTCTTCCTGCAGTGCTGGGGGTGGAGCCCAGGGCCTTGTGCATGCTAGGCAAGTGCTGTACCACTGAGCCATACCCCAGCCCTTGCTCCTGAAGGTCTTTATTCCAAAGGTTCCCAAGCCCAAGTTACAGTCCATATAACATACAGTGTATATCACCACTGTGCCCACAGTGAGCCAAGCGTCTTTTTCCTGACCACCCAGCAAGTCAGAAAGTCCCTGCTTGGTGGCACCCATCCAGCCACCCAGCCTGGAATTGGGGCCTGGTATACAGTTGGTGCCTACAGACATGAATGGCACTTGAAGAAAGTGAGTGCACTGCTCCCACAGCAGCCAGTGTGTGGCAGTGGTCAGGCCAGACACATCACTCGAATTCCTGGCTTTGCTGTTTGTTCTAGGCCTCTGCGGCGGCCAGCCAGGGAGAGCTATTTCTGCCCCTTGGCTAGTGATAACTGAGCACCTAGTCTTTGTGGCGCTGGGTGGGAGAATCCAGAGATGGCAGAGGCCTGGTGCCGCCACAGGGTGCCCTCCATGGACAGTCACCCACCCAACTGGTTAGACCTGTTCTTACCTCACTCTCTGTAGTCAGCACTGGCTGGGGACAACAGCCTTTCCACTCATCTCGCTCTCCTTGGTGTCTTCATTCCTTCAGTTTCTCCTTCCCCTACAGCAATGGCAAGCCACTGTCTTCAATAATCAGATTTTCCACCAAAACTTGACAGTTCTGCTCTTCTGAACAACGGGAATAAATATGGATGAGGTGCATGTATTCTGAAGGATGAGCTTTTTGGGGAGCCAGCCCACTCTCCTAACTTGGTCTCTAGTTCCCGTGTGCAGGGTGGGGCACTCCGCTGCTCAGATGCCTTGACCTCCAATTTAATTAGCTCCTCAATGAGAATGTTGCCACCTTCTCTGGCCTATGGAACATTCGCTGCCTGTTCCTTAGTGTGACCCTGGTCCACTCATTGTAGCACTGACCACTCTGTGGCACACCCTTAAGGGCTCTGGAGAAAGATCAGACCAGCTGTCTTCTAATTTACAGAAGGAACCTGGCTGCCGATACCGTGTGTGCGCACTGGGGATTGAACCCAGAGGCACTCTGCCACTGAGCCACATCCCCAGCCTTTGTTGAGACAGGGTGTTACTCCATTGCCTAGAGCCTTGCTAAGTTACTGAGGCTGGTCTCATGCCTGGCCTGATACCTTTTTAAATAACATCTGTTCTGTTCTAGAGTTCCCGTGTTGTCCTCATTATCTCCAGAAAACCAACCTCAAAAAGGCAGCCTTGCTCAGTTCACAGATGACTTCTTGTGTAGGCATCGTGGAAGCACACACTACACATCGTGGGGGATGGGGGAAAGCCGCCCTATTTATGTTCTATCATTTTAAGCTTAATTCCAAAATTCATTAAAATTGTGGTATTCTTACAGCTAAATGAAGTTTTTACATGAGTGTTTCATCCTCCCTTATTTTATTCCACCAGGCTCAAAGACTTGGAAAGAGACAGCTTAACGGAAAAGGTAATCTCCAGAGTGTGGGTTTTTTTTTGTTTTTTTTGTTTTTTAGATAGTCTTACTAGGTTGAATTCCTGGGCTCAAATGACTTTAAGTCATCTAGAGATGACAAATGCCATGTTAATGCTCTGCTATGTACATAGTTGTTGTGCTGTATTGTTTAGGGAATAAAGACAAGAAAATCTTTTTGTGGGGGGAGTTGGTACTAGAGATTGAACCCAGGGTGCTTTATCACTAATATCTCCAGTTCACTTTTTTTTCTTTACACATTTTGTATTGGTGCATTAGTTTTATAGAATGGTGGGATTTGTTACATATTCGTACATGCACACAATATAATAATATTTGGCCACTAATAACACTCCCTAGCACTTTCCCTCTCCTTTCCTTCTACCACCCTTTTTTTTGAGACAGGGTCTTGTTCAGTTGCTGAGGCTGATCTCATACTTGCAGTCCTCTTGCCTCAGCATCCTGACTGGCTGGGATTACAGGCATGTGCCACTCCATTGAACCCAGATGAAATTCTTTTAAGAATATTTTCCATCTGAGGATGGTTGAATACTTAGAATCAGAACCTGTGAATATGGAGAACTGACCATTTTTTTTTTTAGTGTGTTGGCTGAGTCGGTGCTGCCTGCCGTTCAGTCATTGTGATGTGACCAGGTGGTTCGGTTACTTGTGTATTAGCCCATTAGTTAATATCTTGGGAGTTTGGGGGCTGATGAACATATATTCTTCCCTTAGGAGTGTGTGAAGGAGAAATTGAATCTCTTGCATGAATTTCTGCAAACAGAAATAAAGAATCAGTTATGTGATTTGGAAACCAAATTACATAAAGAAGAATTATCTGAGGTAAGTCAGTTCCCAGCATCTTGGCTACCAGAAGAAACATCTCCCTGTAACTTGTGTGTCACCAAGGAGTTGGAGAAACCCCCGCTCCTGTTGCCTGATGATTGTAAAGGAAACGCATGTATTTGTTCCCTTGTTCTTATTGCCATTTGTTTACATTCACTGCTACTTAAATTATCCTTTCCTGCTGTAGGAGGGCTACCTGGCTAAAGTCAAATCCCTTTTAAATAAAGATTTGTCCTTGGAGAACGGAGCTCATACTGTCAGTCGAGAAACGAACGGCCATCTAGAAAACGGGAGCCAAGGAAGCCGTGCAGACAGGAGAGTGAAAATGTCAGAACCAAACGCCCCCAAATCCGGTTCCAAACCTCGTGGACCCAGAAGAAGCAAGTCTGATAGCGAGACTAAGGGTAAGAACCCTTGGCTCATTTCCAACCTTGGAGGAGGTTATGATACGCACGAGGGCACAGACTTTGACTCATGCACCCCTGGGCAGCGTCTTCTTGTTTTCTTTTTTCGTGCTGGGGGTGGAACCCAGGGCCTCCTACATGCTAAGTGCACTCTCTACCACTGAGCTACTCCCCAATACTTCTGGGGTTTTTTTTTTTTTGTGTGTGTGTGTGTGTACTTCCTAACTTAGACTTGGGTAGATGTTTCCTGAGTTCCAACGGTTCCGGGCTTTTTCAACTTTATAATGTCCATACTTGCTGAAAAACATATTTTGAATTATTTTTGGTACTAGGGATTAAACCTAGATGCCTTTTACATGGAGCTGCATCCCCAGTCTTTTTTTTTTTATTTTGAAGTGGTCTCTAAGTTACTGAGGCTAGCCTTGAATTTGCAGTCCTCCTGCTGGTTATTGACTAGAATCTAAAACCTCAGGATACTTAAGCCTCAATCTGACTTTCTGCAATAGCTAGGGCCATGCGTGGACTTATCTTTTCATAGCGGCCTTTTCTTGTTTCTTTTTTTCCCTCCTTAAACAGCTGAAGCTTCATCTAGTCCCATGGTTACGAGGAGAACGACCAGGCAGACCACCATCACATCTCATTTTACAAAAGGGTCAGTATATAATGAATGGATTGCTACTTTTTCTTGGTGCATGGCTTTTGGTAAAACATGAATGGAATAGTTTATAATTTATCAGTGCCAACTTTTATGTTGCATAGATTTTTTTCCCCCCGTTTTTTTGCACTGTGCTGAGATAGAATCCAGGGCCTGGTATATGCTAGGCAAGTGCTCTCCTCCTGAGCTACACTCCCTGCATAGGTTTTCATCTTGCAGTTTTTGTTGACATTCATAAACAGCATTTTTAAAGATATTTTTTAGTTATCGATGCACCTTTTATTTATGTGGTGCTGAGAATCAAACCCAGTACCTCACACATGCTAGGCAAGGACTCTACCACTGAGCCACAAAAAAAACAAAACAAAACAAAAAAACCCCAGCCCCAATAACAGCTTTTTTCTGGGGGGCGGGTACTGGGGATTGAACTCGGGGGCACTCGACCACTGAGCCACATCCCCAACCGTTTTTGTATTTTATTTAGAGACAGGGTCTCACTGAGTTGCTTAGCACCTTGCCACTGCTGAGGCTGGATTTGAACCCGTGATCCTCCTGCCTCATATTCCTGAGCTGCTGGGATTACAGGCATGTGCCACCACGCCTGGCATGAACAACATTTCTGAAGAATTCATCTACTTTTGTTTTTCCAGTTACAGTTAGGTGATGAAACAATAGCCATTTGTATCACTTTGAAACAAATCCCAAACATGTCATCCAACATAAAAACAACATACTGTTTCATGCCTTTTACAATTTTTTTTCCCCCTCTGCTGAGGATTAAGCTCAGGGCCTGTAGGGATGCTAGGCAAGTATGCTACCACTGAGCTATATACCTAGCATAACTTTTTTTTTTTTTTAACTGAAGACTTAAACCAGGGATGTTTTACCACTGAGATCCACCCCAGCCCTTTTATTTTGAGATGGGGGTCTCACTAAGTTGCTGTTGGTGTTGGTCGAACTGAGGGCCTCACACATGCTTGAACTTGGAATCCTTCTGTCTCGGCCTCCTAAGTTGCTGGGATTATGGTGTATATTGCCGTGCCCAGCTACTTTTTATTCTTTGAGGCTGATTTCTTTTTTTTTTTTTTTAATATTTTTAGTTTTAGATGGACACAATATACTTATTTTTATTTATGTGGTGCTCAGGATCGAACCCAGCTCTACCACTGAGCTACAGCCCCAGCCTCGAGGCTGAGTTCTTTATAGATGGTACTGTGTATCAGGTGTGTGATGTCTCTTCTCTTTGTGACATTAGCAGCCATTGTTCAGTATTTAGATGCATGATTTCTTAGGACATGCAAAATGGAATTATCCTAAATCTGTCAAAGAAATATTGAATTTAAGCCTCTTTCAACATCCTGCCAATAAGGGTCTCTCCTGGGAGGAAAGAAGGCATCTAGGTCCTGCATTAGGCTGAGTCCTTTTGGGAAGGAGGGCCACAAGTTATTCTGGGCCCACTGGAGGGCAAGGGTCTCTCTGAACTAACAGTTGCCTGATTCTGTGTGACAGCCCTGCTAAACGGAAACCTGAGGAAGAACCTGAAAGAACAAATTCAGATGACTCTGAGGAAGACAAAGACCAGGTAACGCAGGCATTACACAAAAATTAGAGTTCAGAATCGATATATGCTTAGATAACCTAGCATGTGGTTCATACTGTCAAGCTGGGGTTCTCCAGAGAAGCAACTAGTTTGTGTGTGTGTGTGTGTGTGTGTGTTGATACATATGATACATAGACATATAAAATGTCAGAAAGCTATGTGGTTCTTTGGCTCAAAGATGGTTGGAAGCTGGGACCAGGGTTGTGGCTCGGTGGTAGAGTGATTGCCTTGCATGAGTGAAGCGGGGTTTGAAACTCAGCACCTCATAAAAATAAATTAAAGATTATGTCCATTTACACACAAACACACACAAAAAATGATGGTGGAAACTGAAAAGACAGGCTGGTATCTGCAGGATAGGCTGGCAGGCTGGAGGACCCAGGAAGAATTGATGTTGCAGTTTGAGTCTAAAAGCATCTGGAGGCAAAAACTTAATTTTGGTGTTGGTCGAACTGAGGGCCTCACACATGCTAGGCAAGTATTTTACCATTGAATTACATCCCATCCCCAGAATTTTATGTGTACTCCTAATCAGATGTTTCATATATAAATGTTCCTTGTGATAGTACACGGATGTTCCATATACCCTATGTTCCACTTTTCACCAGTGATAACATCTCAGACTGTTAGGTACAAATGGCAACAAACCCTTAGGAAATTAACATTGGTACAGGGTACAGACTATTCAGATGGTATCAGTTTTCATGCTTGTATGGATACATATGTATCATTACATGCAGCTTTATCACAGTCATGTGTGTGTGTGTGTGTGTGTGTGTGTGTATATATATATATATAAATAAAAATTATAGGTTTATGGGATTCAACCCGGAGTCTGTGCACACATGGCAAGTGCTGTACTGCTGGCATATACTCCAAACCCTTTAGTTGTCAAATAGCGTTCAGATTTGTTTTTATTGTAACTTTTCTTTGATGCTGAAGATGGAACCTAGGGCTTCATGCAAGCAAACACTATGCCATTACTACATTCCCAGCCTCCTCATCACTATATTTTTATCCCTTTTTAAGTTAAATGAACAGTTAACCTAGAGATGGAAAATCTCATGACCTTAGGGAAATAGTATACTAGTGCATCCACCTGAGAAAGGAACTAATGTCCTAGCTGGGCAGTCACAGTTGCTTCCTGATATGAATCCCAAACTTCCACTTTGTTTTATCCCAGTACTGAAGAATTGCTGACCTGAGAGAATCTGACTCCTATAGCATCCCTAGGCAGTCTCTAGGAATCAGACATGTATTGGCCTAACTCCTGGCCTTGACTTGGTTTGGGGAGCTATGGGGCATTGAAATAAGACTGACAATTTCCCAGATAGCCCCCAAACCTAGACATCCCTCTTTTCCCACCCTTTTTTATCTTTTGTTTTGTAGCATTAGGAATGGAACCCAGCGAGTGCTAGGCAAGCACTCCACCACTGAGCCACCCAGCTCCACCCTGCTTTTAACTACATCACATGTTTATTTGATAATTTGACTCATGATTTTGGTATTGATATTCCTTTGAATCCCATATTCTTGTCTTTTTGTTCTCCCTCCTTCCCTCCACACAGGAAGAGAAGAGACGTTTACAGGAAGAGAAGAGACGTAGAGTTACAGCCACTGAATCGTAAGAATAATTATTATACCTTTCTTTTTGTTTGTGTTGTTTCACCTTAATTATGGAAATTACTTTCCCAGAAAGTTTGAAAAGTGGAGTTTATAGTGAGTTTCCCTAGCAACCATAGACCTGTTAAGGATGCTAAATTTGGGGTCAGATAAGTAACCATTTGAGGTAAAACTTCTCCATTGAAAAGAATGAATTAAGAAAAATATCAGTTTTCCTCATCAGAGTTGGATTTAAAGGTTTTACAAATAATACATGTAAAATGAATATTACCCTTCGGGGCTCCTGAGATGACCATTGCTTTTGGGTTAGGAAAGGAGATTTTATGAAATAACTTCAGGGAAATGAACCTGTATAAGTCCCAGTTGCTGTATTTTATTTTGCTCAACAGAGTTGCTGAACCTACTGCAACAGAACCGGAAACAGTGACACCAGGAACACATACTGACACTGAAGAGGAAGAGAGAGAAGGAGTAATACCTTGTTACCTCCTTTTTTTTTTTTTTTTAATTCTACTGTGATCTCAAGTCCCCCCTGGTTCCAGGCATGAGGGCAGGGAGTGGGCAATGTACGGGTACACAGTGAGTGTCATGAATGATCTAATAGCCTTAATTTGGTCAAGACACTCAACACTCCCCAACTGTCCATAAGGAAGGTATGTCAAGTTGTGATTTTAAGACCTCAGTGGCAGACCTAGGGGGCCAGCTGGACCTTGGTTACTTGGTCACAGAGCTTGTCTGTCCCCTTACTTGCCTGCCTTCAGTCTTTGTGAAGATGTTTTAAACATGGGAGGTCCTTACATTCTATAGCATCATCCTGATACAAAGTTGCCTTCTTGGACTAGAGATGTAATTCAGAGGCTGATGCCTTCCTAGCATGGGTTAGGCTCTGGGTTCATCTATAGTACTACAAAAAAGAAAAAAATTTCTTAATTTTCTTTTGAGATGGTGTTTCTTTGTTGACTCTGCTGGTCTCAAACTCCTGAGCTCAAATGATCCTCCTATCTCAGCCTCCCAAGTAGCTGGGACTCTTGGCTTAAACTACAGTGTTACAGGATCTAGTCTGTAAAAATTTCCTTATTGTCCTGCCATTTGCCCTATCAAAAAGAAGGGGCAAGAAAAATTGTCTTAAAGGCAGATAGTTTTTACTCTTACCAAATAGATGATAGGACCAGTTTAGGTAGGCTGTTTCCATAGAACATAAAGATCAGGACCACATGGAAAAATTACTCTTTCTATTCCCCCTTAGGAAGAGAGGAGACTCAGAAGTCAAACCAAAGAACCGTAAGTATAGTTAACTTGCCTTTGTGCTTTGACACCTAACTGCTAACGTGAGGGTTTCAGTGCGATGACTAGAGTGCTGAACGCTGGTGCAGGACTCCAGCCTGTGAAGTTCAGATCACTGCAGGGAAGGCTAAAGTCACCTGGGATGTTTTCTGACCCTGGCCTGCCCTCAGGGTGGTCCTCAACAGGCTGTCATGTGGTGCCAGAGGCCTCAGAGGCTGTGTTGATTATCTTGCTCTGATAGTGCTTGGTGACAACCCTCCCAGAAGCTCAGCTGCTTAAAACAGCACTCATCCAGCTCAACAGCTGTCAGGTGGCTGAGGTTTATGGGGACTGATGGGGCTGACCCAGCTGCCCCATGAATAGGCCAACCTGGGCACACTCTCATGACGGGGTAGAGTATGATGGCACAGTGAGAAGTGTAGCACTTTCTCAAGTTTCTGATGTCCCATATGAAGGACCTGAGTCCAGAGGTGGGTTGAGTATCCCATCCAAGTGCAGGTCCCTGGTGGAGAGAGACTCTAATCCCTCACATAGCCAGTTTACTATAGTTGCTGGTGCAGACCATACTCAGCCTAGCTCCAAAGGCTAGATGCCCACCTTCTTCCACCACAGGCAGAGCTCCCATCGGGGTCCAGGTAGTGGAGGCCCCCTGTCTGTTGTTCACTGCCATCTCTGATCAATATTCTGTGCAGGGCTGGGCTGGAGCTCTGTGGTGGAGGCTCTGGGTTCAGTTCCTAATACCAAAAAACTCATGAAGCAGTATTTCTGAAGATCTTAAGTTCCAAAGTAATTGGTGCCTTTTGGATTTCCCGCAGTGCAGATAAGAGGTGGCTTGTGCCCTGAATCTAGGAAGGAGACCACTGTAAGCCTTCCGTGGGGCTGCCTGAAGTAGTCCTAGCTCCCCAGCTGACTGACACATCTTTTGTTTTATGTGACAGAACACCTATACCGAAACTGGAGGAGGAGCTGGATGGAGAAGCCAGACCAGGGACTCACAATGAAGCGGAAGGAGATAAGCGAGTAAAGGCAAAATTTTTTTTTTAAGTAATATTTTTTGTGGTAGATGGACACAATACCTTTATTTATGTGATGCTGAGGATTGAACCCAGGGCCTCGCAAGTGCTAGGCGAGTGTTCTACCACTGAGCCACAACCCCAGCCCAAGGCAAAATCTTTATTATCTATTCTCATGTTCCTGTTTGGTTGGTGGAAACAGTACAGGGCGTGGCTCTGGGATTCAAACCCAGCCCCACATACTGTGGGGTGACTCTGGGCAACTTAATCTGTCGGATCGGTGCCACATGTCTGCACTGATATGTAGTGAGCATGCTGTTCTGTCTCTGCACCACGTTGGAGAGCCTGTGTTTCTAGACTGAGACTGGTGTGCAACCTGCTTCTCTTGAGGCCTTTTCCACCCCAAAGTCTTGATCTGTGCTCAGCTCAGTTCAGCAAGTTCTCCTTTACCAGCCTGCCTATTAAATCGTTCTGAGCCTAGTTCTCTTCTTGCTCCCCAGCCAGCCTCCCTGCCTCCTACTCAGCCAAAGAAGCATTTTTAAAACCTAGAATAAGCTGGGTGTGGTGGCACATTTCTGAAACCTAGCCCTTACAGAGGCTGAGGCAGGAGGATTGCAGATTCTAGGCCAGCCTGGGCAACTTGGTGAGATCCTGTCTCAAAGTAAAAATAAATAAATAAATAAATAAATAAAAATAAAAAAGGGAGGGGGTGCTGGGGATGTATCTCGGTGGTGGAGTGACCGAGGGTTCAATGCCTAGAATCAGACACACACACACACACACACACACACACCCAAAAAAAAAAACACCCAAAACACAAAAATAGTTGTTCCCTAGTTTATTCCGAGGATTGGTGCCTGGACCCTCTGATACCAAAGTCTGCTCAAGTCCTTTACACAAAATGACATATTTGCAAACTACACACATCCTCCCATATGCTTTAAATCATTTCTAGATTATGTATGCTGCCTAATACAACATAAATGCTATGTAAATAGTTGTTATACTGTACTCTTTTTTTTTTTTTTTGTACCAAGGATTGAACTCTGGGCACTTGACCAATTTAGAGACAGGGTCTCACTGAGTTGATTAGCGCCTCACTAAGATGCTAAGGCTGGCTTTGAACTTGCGATCCTCCTGTCTCAGCCTCCCGAGTTGCTGAGATTACAGGCATGTGTGACTGTGCCCGACTGGCTGTTACACTGTATTTAGGAAATGACAAGAACAGTGTGTTCATGTTAAGGGTAGGAAAATCCTGAGCATCTTCCGTCCCCAGTTGGATGGATCAGATGATAAGGAGGGCCCCTAGTTCTTGGGGCTTGACCTCTGAAAGTGTAGGCTGACAGTACTATCCTCTACCTGAGCTTTAAGCAAAAGGGACAGGCTGTGTGCTGGGGGCTGCAGGCCTCTGCTCCCCTAATCGGGAATCACAAACTTGGGTAGTCCCAGGGCTACCCATGTGGTTTTTCTGCCTGTTGAGATCTAGAGTGAAGCCCAAAGTCACAGCCTTACTGGGTCATGAGCTGGTTGGCAATGGTTCCCTGTTTTTGTCCCATGGCACATGAGCCGTAGGTATGGCCGCCAGTGGGCTGTGATGTCTCACTGCCTCTCTCCTTTCCTGTCCAGATATGGGTTGCATTTCCATCAGTGCTTGCCTGAAATCCCTTCAGAAGGGAGAGACAATAGAAGTATAAACACTCTATCCTCAGTTGGACTTTTTGCCCCTTGGTAGAAAGGGATGTCAGGATCAAACATGTGGCTTTTTAAACTTTTAGTTGTAGAAGGACACTACACCTTTATCTTATGTTTTATGTGGTGCTGAGGATCGAACCCAGTGCCTCACCCTTGGTAGGCAAGTGCTGCTCCACTGAGCCACAACCCCAGCCCCCTAGTAAGGTATCTTATTATACACAGCCTCACAAAATACTAGATTGTCCATGTAAGTTAATAACAGAGTTGGGAAATTCTGCTTTTTTTGTTAGCAGTAGGGATTGAATCCAAGGCAGTTTACCACTGAGCTACATCCCCAGCCTTTTTTATTGTTTTGAGACAGGGTCTTGCTAAGTTGCCCAGGTCGGCCTTGAATTTGTGATCCGCTTGCCTCTGCCTCCTGTGTTGCCAGAATTAGTAGTGTTCCATTGCACTGGCCTGGAATTTCTGCTTTTTCTCAATCTTTTCTTTTCTGAAACTCTATTCCTTTTTTTTTTTTTTCTTATATCCCAATGTCTGTAAAAGTCTTAACCACTTACCAGAGGACTGGTGGGACTTTAGCCTTTCTGGACAACATCAGCACAATGTCCACAAATTCCCCTTTACACTCAACTTTCCTAGGACAGAAGTTGGCAGGGTGTGGCTAGCAGGACAAATCCAGCCCACTGCCTGTTTTTTGTAAACTTTTCTTAGAATGCAGCCACATCTCTTTATTCATACTTTCTGCGGCTGCTCTTATGGTACAGTGGCAGGAAGGATAGTCGTGACACAAACCCCATGGCTTACAAAACTGAAAATACCTGGCCCTTAACAGAAGCAGGTCACCAACCCCTGGTCTAGGCAATTTGTTTGCAGGGGTATGTGTTGGGTGTTATAGAAGGTTCTTTAGTACCTGCTTATTGGTAGGTTGGGGAAACTGGGGAGTAAATATTTGAAGCTTCATCTTCACCCTGTAGTCCTGCCCGTGCTGTTCCTGTTCTCTGGCTCTGTAGTGCAGAAGGCTGTAGCCTGTTTTCTGGTATCGAATTTCATCTTGCTATCTGTCTCAAACTAATTTTTCTAATTTTTCCCTTCTTTATTTCTCTCTCCCCTTGTTAGGATGAAAGGAGGTCTAGAAGTCAATCCAAAGACCTGTAAGTAACTAAAATGCTTATTTGTCATCCCAATTATTAAAACCTCTGTTCTAGAACCTGGGATGATACAGGAGTCATGGGGAATGGTTGGTGTTGGAAGGAAAGTGCCGATGCGCAGGGCTGGGTGCCAAGTCATCCTGTGCCCGCCCTTTCCTGAACCTGGCACAGTTGTGTCTCAACTTCCAGCACTTCCTTCAGGGCCCACATCTGTGGGGGCTTCTGTGGGCCTTGTTTTAGGGTGACAAGTTAGCAGTGTGCTTCAGAGCCCCATGAACATTTTGCTTTTCAATAGGGAGGCCTTATTTTGTCATTCGGCACAAGTTAACAAGTTTTTCTGAGCTAATATTTGATACATATTTGTCCACCCAACAGAGCTGCCAAACGGAGACCTGATGAAAAAGAACCTGAGCGAGTAACTCCACAAATGTCTGAGAGAGATGAGGATGAAAAGGTAAAGGTCGTGCTTTCAATCTCATTGTATTTCATAAAGTCCATTGACTTTAAAAAATGGGATTTTATTTTTTAACTTGCATTTATTATGAAAATATTCAAACATACCCAGTAGACCAAAGGTAGTAAATCTGTACATACTCATTCTCAGTCTTCAGCAGATAGCAGCTAAGGCCACGCAAGTTTATCTTCACCCAAACCTTGTCCTACATGATGTTGCATAAGTTAGACATAGTACAGGAGAAATCTCAAAGGAAGAACTCATTTTAAACATGACCATAGGGTGTTAGCATACATCAGGTAAAATATCTAGTCTGTGTTTGCATTTCCCTGGTTGTCTCTTGTTTTTAGAGTTTGAATCATAGGTCCAAAGATCTAGACAATGTACAATCATGTATTGCTTAATGACAGGGATATATTCTGGGAAATGATTCCTTACATGATTTTGTCATGGTGTGAACACGAGTGTACATACACAAACTAAGATGGCTATGTGACATCAGCAGGTGACAGACGGTGGTCTCATGGGTCCATCAGTCAAGATGTTATGCAATACAGGATTGTATTTGGTTGAGATTTGTCCTAAACCTCTAGTTTTCCTGGTCTGCAAATTTCTTAACTAAGAAATTTTTCTTATCTGTAGTGTCCTAGGTTCTAGATTTTACCAGTTTTTATCTTCTTCAACCCTATCTCCTTCAGGCTGCTTGGCTAGATGCAGGTTGTTACTTTAGAGAATTTATTAGGAGGTGGTGCTATATGCTTCTTGCAGTATCACCTTGGTAAGCACAGTGGTCTCTCAAGGATGAGATTGGTCCTGGGCTCAGATGGCATCAGCCTGATCCATCCATTATAAAGACCCTTAACCTTTTCACCTTTTTTTTCCCTATTGTTGAGGATCAAACCCAGGGCCTTCTATCAAGTCCTCAGTGGGTGTGCTTGGGTTTTTTTTTTTTTTTTTTTTAGTTGTTGATGGACCTTTATTTTTATGTGGTGCTGAGGATCAAACCCAGTGCTCACATGCTGGGCAAGTGTTCTACCACTGAGCCACAAACCCAGCCCTGTCTTCACTGTTTCGAACTGTCATCGCAACCGTGATTTTTGCCAAAAGTTGCAAAGTGGCAGTAATCTAAGTCCTTTGCTTGCCTTATTTTTGGCAGCACTGGGGATTAAACCCAGAACCTTGCACATGCTAGGCAGGAGTTCTACCTCTTAGCTACATAGCTGGCCCTTTCAAAAATTTTATCTTTAGGCTGTCTTGCTACATCATTACCCAGGCTGGACTTGAACTTGTGATTCTCTTGCCTCAGCTTCCTGAATTGCTGGGATCAAAGGTGTGTGCTACTACACCTGGCTTACCTGAACCCACTCTAAAAATTTCCCTACGATGAGTTTGCTCGGGCTGCCATAATACATTGTGCAGCTCACATGACTGACTTTGGGCTGGGGCTGTGGCTCAGAGGTAGAGCACTCGCCTAGCATGCATGAGGCCCTGGGTTTGATCCTCAGCACCACATAAAAATAGATTGTGTCCACCTATAACTAAAAAAATGAATGTTTAAAAAAAAAAAAAAAAAAAACCTGACATATATTTGCTCCATGTTTGGAGGCTAGAAGTAGAAAGTTAAGGTGGTGGTATCAGGGATAGTCTCCAGTGAGGCTTCTCTGGTTCATACAGCTGCCACCTCACTGTGTTCATGTGGATTTCCTCTGGACTGGCACCTAAAGAGCGGATTCTGGTGTCCCTTTCCCTTTATAAGGACATCACTCATACCTTTAACCTCAGTTGCCTCCTTTAAAGCCATGTCTCTGGCCAGGCATGGTCGTGCCCACCTGTAATCCCAGCAGCTCAAAACCAGCCTCAGCAATAGTAAGGCTCTAAGCAACTCGGTGAAATCCTGTGTCTAAACAAAATAAGGCTGGGGATGTGGCTCAGTGGTCAAGTACCCCTGAGTTCAATCCCTGCTGCCCCCAAAAAAACCTGAATATAGTTGGCACCCCATTGGGTTTTAACTTGTTTCGTCCCATAGTCCCAGAAGTAGAACACCTAGAAAAATTTAAGTTATGCAACAAATAGTCTAGTTATGCTAACTTTGAAATGTTTTAAAGACTATTTTTTACTATTTTGAGTTTTGGGTGACTGATAAGAGCATATGAATGTAATACTCTTTATTTCACATGGAAAAAATACAGGGTATATAAGCTCTAGGTTATGACTTTTAAATCTATTTTAATATACTTGTGTCAATTTTACTGAATTATTCACAGAATTAATAACTTGAGGCTGAATGGGTTAACGTTAGAATTTGGAGGGGACACAGTTCAGCTACTTTCCTAGATACCACTTGTACAAGAAAGCTAGGATTTATTTGTTTTAAATTGGCTCCTTGGGACTCCTAAGGAAGTCTTTGGTTATAAGACTTTTGTAAGATTTGGGCACTGGGATAAGTTGGGTCTTATCTCCTGTTCCTCTCATTGCTTTCTTCCCCATTGCATAAGTTTTTTGATAATTATATGTGGAATTCTCAACTCGGAAGCCCCATCCAGATATAGAATTCTTTCTTACTCTTTATTCTGCTTTTGTCTCTTGTATTTAGGAGGAAAAAAGACGAAAAACTACACCCAAAGAACCGTAAGAATTTTTTTGTTTATATGAAGCAGATCATAATGTTAAGATAGTTCTTCTAGAAGGAAGTAGCTTTGAGTTGCTGGAGCAACCTTAGCCATTGAGTTGGGTTGGGGACCAGGATACTCCAGTTCTGCAGGCTGGAGCAGGATTCCTCTAGGCAGTAAAGAACCACTTGTGACCTGGTGCCTCGTCAGTTACTGTGGCAGCTGGTGTCTGTGGTTGGGGGGTGGATTAGGCTTCAGTCTGACAGGGTGGATTTTGATATATTCTGAATTGATTAAAGTGCAATCAGTTTTGTGCTTTATTCCCAGAGCTGAGAAAAAAATGACTCGGAACAAAACCCTTTTGAACCCCAAGGTAAACATACAAGTGGGAATGAGGCAGGTGCTGTGGTGCCGTGAGGGTTGCTCCCTCTGCCTCTGAGGCCATTTCTGTTCCTGTTCCCACAGGTTCAGCCACCCAAGTGCAACGAATGCGGGCAGTTCCTGGATGATGTTGACCTCAAGTATGAGCAGCACCCCTCTGATGCGGTAAGTTCCAGCACTTTTGTCACCCTTTTCTCACACCTCCTGTGTGCTTCTGCTTATTGGTCCCATGTCCCTCAGCTGGAAGAGCCCCAGATGTTGACAAATGAGAAACTGTCCATCTTTGATGAAAATGGATCTGGCTTTGGGAGTTACGAAGATCTTCCCCAACACAAACTGACGTACTTCAGGTAACTGATGTGCTTGCATGTGGGTGTTTGCTTCATTATATTAAGTCATGTCTCTGAAATCATTCAAGTTCTTGCTATCCTGGAGAAGTCCTTAACACCTAACCTGCAACGTTTCTCAAGCTGCTAACCATTTGTGGGTAAGAGCACAAAGCTGGTGGAGGTATAGTAGACCTTGCCCAGGTATATCAGTTTTGTATTTTGGTTCTTAACATCTCTAACATCTTAACATATTAAGTCTGCAGTCTGTATCCATCTTGAAGGTCAGCTCTGTGCTGGGTGCTGATCTAGGTCCTATCAAGTCCTAGCCTTCATGAGACAATATAAGTGACACCTGCTGGGTATAGGTTGAACATTCCCTATCTGAAACACTTGGTCAGAAGTGTTAGATTTCTGTTTTATTTACTTATTTAGAATATTTACATGTACGTGAGATTTCTTGGATGGGGCCCAAACTTAAACATGACATTCACTTGTTTCACATGTTTTATATGGCAGGCATTTCAGTGCATCTGCTTTACACAGGATCAGGGGTGCACATTTCCACTTGTGTTGATGCTCAGTGTTTTGGGATTTTGGATTAGTGATGCTCTCTCAAACTAACAACTATGACAAATTTCAAAGCCTGATGAACACAGGTGGGAGAAAGATCCTCTGTTTAGAGGGTGATACCTTGAATAAGCTCCTTGGTCACAAGAGAACTCTGGGGAGAGCTGGGGTGGAGGTGGCGTGCCTAAGGGCTCGGGTGGGCCTGTGCTGGCTGTGGAGGGTGTTAGTCTGGTATGGCCTACATGGCAACGGGGCCCAGGCCTTGGAGACTATTTCTGGTGGTGGGGAGCCCCTCAGGAGTACCCATTAGAAGTCTCAGATGGACATGGCTCCTGGAACCACACCCCTTCCCAGGCTGGGATTCTCCTGCTGGCTTGAACAAGATCCATTTATGTGCAACCTTGCTCCACATGCCTTCTGTGGTTGACGTGCCTCCTCCCCTTCTCCTTCCCTACCACTGTGATCCTGATCCATGTCAGGAGGCTGTCTGGCTTCCAGCAAGCCTCAGGGCCAGGCCCAAAGTAGGGCACCAGATCTCTGGTGGGCTTGAGTGAAGCCTGCTGGGGCAGACACAGCATAGGGTCGGGCCTGAGGGCCTCCTTATGATGTTGACCTCAAGTATGAGCAGCACCCCCCTGATGCGGTGAGTTCCAGCACTGTTGTCATCCTTTTCTCTCGCACCTCGTGTGCTTCTGCTTATTGGTCCCGTGTCCCTCAGCTGGACGAGCCCCAGATGTTGACAGATGACAAACTGTCCGTCTGAGCTAGGGTGGGGGCTAGTGCAGGCTTGAATGCCCTGCTGTCTGCTGCAGTCAGGGGTTTCTGTCAACCTGTTCTTGTTGGGGGGGGTGGTACTGAGGACATGCTTCCCTGGAACCAGACTGCCTGCGTTGTTCAGGGACTCTGCATGTGATGGGAACAAGTCACAGGTAGGGTCCAGCCTGTGAGTCTGGGTTTTATCCCTGCCTGGAGAAGAAGTCCTCTCCAATGTTGCCTCTATGGAGAGAGACCCTGTCAGGCCGGGGACTGATCTTTCCCTCCTGTGGCCCTCCTTTGATACATTCTGTCCATGTCTTTCCACTGGATCTTAAGTCCTGAGGGTGGGATTGTGGGGTCTGTCCATGGTGCCTGGCATGGGGGCCAGGCTCAATTCTGGGTGTTTAGTTTTTTTATTACTTAAAAAGTTCTGACTGGGGCGTAGCTCAGTGGTAGAGCCCTGGCATACGCAAGGCGGGGCCAGTCTCTAGGACTGCAGAAATATTGGGAGAGGCCGAGGTGGAGCTCAGTGGTATAGGATCCAGCATGCCAAGCAGATGCTCTGTTTAAGCCCCAGCACTGCAAATAAAGTTTTGAAGTTTGTCCTCTTCTGATTCCTCACTTACGGAAGAACTTGCCCCTAAATGTCAAGGGGTGTCTGAGCAGAAATATGGATGCCCATTTTATGGTTGAGATTGAACCCTCAACAAGAGGCACAAGGCATTCCCTACATGACACATTCTCCCTTTTCATCTGTTCTATAACCTGCTTTAAGTTGTGGAATTTTTGTTTTTGGTAGCAGGAATTGAACCTGGGTGTACTATATTGCTGAGCTATATCCCCAGTATTTTCTATTATTTTGAGATAGGGTGTCTCTAAGTTGCTGAGGCTGGCTTTGTACTTGTGATCCTCCTGCCTCAGTCTCCCAAGAGGCTGGGATTACATGCCTGACCATCATGCCCAGCTTAATTTTCTTGGTGAAGTGATTCACATAACCCAAATTAACTATATATAGTACAAAACATCCTGAATTGGTAAATCTATAGGAATAAAGTAAATTGCAATTCCTAAGGATTTGAGGGAATAGAGAGCGACAGCTTAATGGGTACAAGGTTTTATTTTGGGTAATGGAAATGTTTTAGAGCTAGATGGGTCATTGTGCAGTGTGGTGAGCGAGTAGTCTGTTCAAGAAGCCAGTGTTTCTCCCACTGTCAGTCTTTTTTTTTTTTTTTTTTGTACTAGGGATGGAACACAGGGAACTTCATTACTGAGCTACATCCCCAGTCCTTTATTCATTTTGAGCCAAGCCTCATGAAGTTGCTGAGGGTGGACTTAAACTTGCAATTGTCCTCCTTCAGCCTCTTGAGTTGCTGGAATTAGAGGCATGCATACCACACCCAGTTTCCCACTGTCTCACCTCAGCATCACTTTGACACAGGTCAGGGGATTGGATAGATGCCATGGGTGATAGAACATGGTACTAATCTTATGTTCTGGCAGCCAAAAAGATAACCAAGTCTAGTACTTGTCCATTGCCTTATGCCCGATTCTAATCGTAAGTGATGACCTGCCTTCCCTGGTCATCTGTTGAGCCTCCCTTTATTGCCCATAGTGTGTACTGTAAGCGAGGTCACCTGTGCCCGATTGACACTGGCCTCATCGAGAAGAACGTGGAGCTTCTCTTTTCTGGTACAGCAAAACCAATCTATGAAGATAATCCGTCTCTTGAAGGTAGGTGTTATGATTCAGGGTTGTGTTTGGGTGTGATGGTTTAAAACCAAACGCAAAACACTTCAAAGCAATAGTCCACTGAACTGCTGCCCCTTACAGTTAGAGTTTGGATCTCTGTCTTGCCCAGTGAAAGCAAAGTCACCCTGATGAGGACTGTGCCCCCAGCTAATAAGAAACATCAACTGAGCTGGGCCCTTAGAGCCTCACATAGCTTTCTTGGGTCCTATGAGTCAGCGTGCTTATTTAGTTTCCTATTGGAAAACTTCTTCCTCTCACAGGTGGTGTTAATGGCAAGAATCTTGGCCCCATTAATGAATGGTGGATCACTGGCTTTGATGGAGGTGAAAAGGCACTCATCGGCTTCAGCACCTGTAAGTGTCGGACCAATCTCAGGATGTTCTGAATCTGAAGGGGCCTTGGCTCTTGCCCTTCCTGGGGGTTGATTGGACTCTAGTAGAAAGTCTTGGCAGGCTTGGAGAGCCCTGCTCAACCATGGCTCATTTATCTGCGACATGTTATCTCTGGCCTCTCATGTTAATCTCTGGCCTTGGAACTGACCCTCTAGTTTTTGCGTTTTTTGGTACTGGAGATTGAACCCAGGATCACTCGACCACTGAGCCATATCTCCAGCCCTATTTTGTATTTCATTTAGAGACAGGGTCTCACTGAGTTGCTTAGGGCCTTGCTAAGTTGCTGAGGCTGGCTTTGAACTCTTGATCCTCCTGCCTCAGCCTCCCAAACCACTGGGATTACAGACATGCACCACTGCATCTGGCTTGCCCCTCTAGTTTTAAAGGCAGGTCTTATTCTTTTTTTCATAGTGGGGACTGAAACCAGAGGGGCTCTACTCCGAGTCACATCCCTAGCCCTTTGTTTTAAGACAGGTTCGTGCTAAGTTGCATAGGACCTTGGCCTCCCGGGTTGCTGGGATTACAGGCATTGTCACTGTGCCTGACTACAAGTCTTACTCTGGCAACTCAAACCCAGACCACACTCCAGACACCAGGAACAAGCTCACTGAACACCAGCTTAGCTCATCTTCATTCTCTAGCCGGCCCAGACAAGCCTCTTTAGGATGAGCTGATACGTTATACTTTTTTATTTGGATGTGGAATGACTTTTAAACTGTATTACTGCCCTTTTCCCAGTGTAAGTGCCATCAGGTTCAAACTGCTTTTTAAAATGTCACATTCCAGGTATGATGGCACACATCTATAGTTTGAGCTACATGGGAGACTGAAGCAGGAAGGGTCAGTGAGACCAAGCTTGGGCAACATTGCGAGGTTCCCATCTCTTGAAAACCAAATGAAATAAAAAGAACATCTTTGCAAAGAAATAATAAGTGTTTGAGATGGAGGTGCTGATAATTACCTTGATTTGATCATTCCATTTTGTTTTTTAACAAAATCATGTGTTCCTGCCAGCGTTTGCCGAATACATTCTGATGGAACCCAGCCCAGAGTATGCCCCAATATTTGGGCTGATGCAGGAGAAAATCTACATCAGCAAGATAGTAGTGGAATTCCTCCAGGGCAACCCTGATGCGACCTATGAAGACCTGATCAACAAGATTGAGGTAAGAGGGTTGTGGTCTGCATCATCTGGGTTCAGTCCAGTTTGCACCCACTGTGGTCGTTGCTTGAACACTCACATCCACTTCCAGAATCAGCAGAAGCTGCCTGTTGGCTCTATGAGGATACCAGGGCTGGGGCTAGAGTGTTGACCTAGTGTGTGCAGGGACCTTGCTTCCATCCCCTGCACCACAAAAAAAGTTGGAAACATCTGACTTTCTTATCTTTTTCCAAGACCACGGTTCCCCCATCTACAATCAACTTGAATCGGTTCACAGAGGATTCTCTCCTTCGACACGCCCAGTTTGTGGTGAGCCAGGTAGAGAGTTATGATGACGCCAAGGACAGTGACGAGCAGCCCATCTTCCTGACCCCCTGTATGAGAGACCTCATCAAGTTGGCAGGGGTCACCCTGGGACAAAGGTAAGGGTGTAGCGGGAATTGAAGTGAGAAGCTGAGACTGGGACAGATTCCTGTGTCCAGTGTCCCGGTCACATAAAATGGTAGACGCTTCTCCCTTAGGCGAGCCGAAAGACGTCAGACCATCAGGCATCCTGCCAAGGAGAAGGATAAAGGACCCACAAAAGCCACCACCACCAAACTAGTCTACCAGATCTTTGACACTTTCTTCGCAGAGCAGATTGAAAAGGATGACAGGGAGGACAAAGAGAATGCCTTTAAACGCCGGCGGTGTGGAGTCTGCGAGGTAATCCACCTGAGCTGCATTCAGGTCCCTCTGAGCTGGCCCAGGTCCCAGCCACATCCCTGTGCAGCTCCTGTCTTTGTGCCTCAAGACTTACTGCTCAAATGTGGCCCCTACAGTAGAATTGTGGGGAAAGAGTGGTCTGGGGGAGAACCTGAATGTTGCATAGAACAGTCTGAAGCATGACAGTAAGCCACTGTCACTTACTGGAGAGCCTGGCCTCCTGGGGGCCTTCGGTCTTCTGCACTTCCTCACGCGAGTCTATAGGCTCCCTGTGGTCACTGAGGTAGCAGCTACCACCCATAGCCGAGAGGCCATTCCCAGGAGCCACCTGTCTCAAACTTCCTGCCAAAGTAGGTGCTTGATTCAACTTAATTGGAGGTCATAAGAGACCTCTTTGATTTTTTTTTTTTTTTTTTTTTTTAAACATATGTAGTTGTCTCTCTGTATTCATGGGTTCCACATCTTGTAGTGAGCTAATCGCTGATCAAAAGTATTCAGAAAGATTGCATCTGAGCTGAATGCAAACAGGCTTTTCCCTAAGCGATTATGGTGACAATTCTGTACATAGCACTTCCATTGTGTTAGGGATTCTACACCTAGAGATGATTTAAAGTGGGAGGATGCACATTTATTCCAAGTAAATACCCATTTTGTATAAGGGCCTTGAACATCTTTTTGTTTTTGTCTTGTTTGGGGCAAATCCCAGATTCTGCAGATACCAAGAGACAACTGTATTTACTGTAGAGAAATTAACCCCCAAATTCTATGGCCCAGAGAGCACATACTTTGGAATGTTTTTTAGTTTCTTTGAGGCAGCTACTGCACCTCTGCCTTTAAAGAACTGCCACTTATGCTTCACGCTGGCTCGCAGCTCTGCCTGTCTTCCTCAGCAGCAGCCCTCGGCAGGGGTTTGCACATCTTCACCATTCTTGTTTTGTTTTTATTTATTTAGCATGCATGATTCAAATGATTATTACTTTTGAAGTCTTGTAATATAACTGCAGTTGTATGCAACTGATGTGTTAACAGAGAGATAGTTAACTCATCATAACTGTTTTCAACGGACTCCTCCATGACATTAATGTTGTAATGCTGCAGCAACATCCTGGAGCAAAAATTCTTGTGAGTTTCTCTTAGAAGCAGAGTTGCTGGGATACAGGTGTGCATACAGCTATCTCTAACTGTGGGGTATTGGTTCCAAGACACCCCTTGAACACAAATCCTTATGTTTTAGTCTCCTATATGATGGCATAGTATATGCACGTAGACTCCAAATATCCTCTGTACACTTTATTTTTAACTTAGTTGTAGATGGACACAATATTTTTTTTAACTTGGTGCTGAGGATTGAACACAGTGCCTCAACATGTGCAAGGCAAGCACCACTGAGGTACAAACCCAGTCCCTCTTTGTGGGGACTTTAAATCAACTCTAGGTCACTTATAGTACCAGATATCATGTAAACACTATGGAAATGCACTGCTGGGAATGGTACACAGGCTTGTTCAACAAGCCTCTCCTGCTGTGCTATGTGCCTGGCCCTTTTGAGATGGCATCTCCCTAGGTTACTGAGGCTGGGTTTGAACTTGCCATCCTCCTGCCTCAGCCTCCTGAGCAGTTGGGATTACATACATGTACCGCTATGCCCACCTGGAAATGTTTTTTTATATTGTATTGTTTAGGGAGTAATGGCAAGAAAAGGTCCCTATAGTGTGGGTTTTTTTTTTTTTTTCAAATATTTTAATCTGTGGCTGGTTGGACCATGATGTGGAACTCACAAATGTAGAGAGCCCACTGCAGTTCATTTATGAACATCCCAACTTATTCCTCAGTGATGGGCAGCTTCTCAGTATTACAAATGACATCCTTGAGCAAGGTTCCTGTGAGTGTCATCTTGGAGGTAGAGTGGCCAGGGTGTGGTGTGCACTTACCTGGAAATTGTTCTCCAAGGTGGTTTTACCAATTTGTCTTCTGAGTGGTGCCTTTCCCATGCCACCTGTCTGGCTGCTTAATAATCCTTGCTAATCTGGAATGCTATCTTGTTTTTAACTTTTGTCATTCCTCCTATAATGTTAAATGTGTTTTTTAAAACAAACTCACCAGAAATGATTGGTTCCTTATGGCCAGTTGATTTGCCTTTTTTTTTTTTTTTTTTTTTTTTGCGGGGGGGGGGGGTGGAGTACTTGACCACTGAGCCACACCCTCAGCCCTTTTATGTATTAAAGATGGGGTCTCACTGAGTTGCTTAGCACCTCACTGTTGCTGAGGCTGGCTTTGGACTCACAATCCTCCTGCCTCAGCCTCCCAAGCCTCTGGGATCACAGGTGTGCGCCATGGCGCCTGGCTTCATTTGCTTTTTTTTTTTTTTTTTAATTATAGGTGGACATAATAACTTTTATGTGGTGCTGAGGATCGAACCCAGCACCTCACGCATGCCAGGAGAGCGCTCTGCCTCTGAGCTCCAGCCCCAGCTCTTCATTTGCCTTTTTAATGATATTTTTCAGGTTTGCCAACAGCCTGAGTGTGGAAAGTGCAAAGCCTGTAAGGACATGGTTAAATTTGGTGGCAGTGGACGGAGCAAGCAAGCTTGTCTAAAGAGGAGGTAGGTTGGGCCACCTGTTCTCATGGCAGCTGGTGCAGGTGTGCTGTGCAGAAGGGCCTGCCTGGTGTAGAGCAGGCAGGAGTCCTATGTCTAGGGTCATCCCAGACTGGTCCCTGCTCCCAGACTACAACAGCCTCTGTTGGTTTGACTCTCCTCATAGAGAGGTCCTTACAACAAGTGACTTTGCAGGTGTCCCAATATGGCAATGAAGGAGGCAGATGATGATGAAGAAGTTGACGACGACATCCCAGAGGTGCCATCACCCAAAAAAATGCATCAAGGGAAGAAAAAGAAACAGAACAAAGATCGGATCTCTTGGGTTGGGGAGGCCGTCAAGGTAATCCTCAGATCAGACTCTCCTTTGATTTACCGCGGGCTCCTGAGGAGCAAGTGGTCTGATAATTTCCCTCGTGGTAGCCTGGACCCTGGGGCCAAGAACCTGTGTGCTCCATAAGGAGCTGGAGTGATGGCCTAGCTCCAGAGGGGCTTTGTCTCCACCCTCAACCTCGTGGTGCTAGGAATTCAACCCAGGGCTTCATGTGTTTTAGGCAAGTGTTCTATGAGCTGCACCCCCAGTCCAAGCTCGTGATTTTTGAATGAAATTGTGAGGAGTTTTTTTTTTTTTTTTTTTTTTTTTTTTTGTAGTTGTATATGGGCAGCATGCCTTTATTTTGTTTATTTTTACTTGGTGCTAAGGATTGAACCCAGTGCTTCACATGTGCAAGGCCACTGAGCTACAGCCCCAGCCCATGAGTTGTATTTTTAACTTTTTTTTGGTGTTGGTGCTGGGGATTGAGTATGTTTTAGTTTTTTTGGTGTTGTTGTACTAGGGATTCAACCCAGGAGCATTAACCACTGAATTACATCCCCAGACCTTTTTTGTACTTTATTTAGAGACGGGGTCTCTCTGAGTAACTTAGTGCCTCACTAAGTTGCTGAGGCTGGCTTTGAACTCAAAATCCTCCTGACAGCCTCGTGAGCCACTAGGATTAGGAGATTGAATCCAGGGCCTTTGCATGCTTGGTTAGCACTCTACCAACTGCAATTGAGCTGTATCCCTAGCCTATGTTTTTAACTTTTTTTGAGGGGTGTTGGGGGTTGAACCAAGGGCCTTGCACATGCTAAGCATGTGCTCTGTCACTGAGCCACATCCCGTGCCCCGAGTCATGTTTTGGTCTAAGATTTCCAGAGGAACACAGAGGTGAGGCCTAGCAAGGACCCTGGAGATGACCCTTATTTGAACTTCATCTTATTCCAGACTGATGGGAAGAAGAGTTACTATCGTCAGGTGTGCATTGACGCGGAAACCCTGGAGGTGGGGGACTGTGTCTCTGTCATTCCAGATGACTCCTCAAAACCTCTGTATCTAGCAAGGTGTGTATCCTTCTGCTTGTTTTTAGCATACTCACAAACAAGTAGGAGGTACCTGTTGAACCAGAGTAAAACCCAAAGCCCCCAGTTCCCACAGGGGACTCCGTTAAGCTTCTGATTGTAGGTCAGATCTTTCTCCATATCCTGTCTTCTGACTCCAGGGTCACGGCACTGTGGGAGGACAACGGCAATGGGCAGATGTTCCACGCTCACTGGTTTTGTGCTGGGACAGACACGGTCCTTGGGGCCACATCAGACCCCCTGGAGCTGTTCCTGGTGGATGAGTGTGAGGACATGCAGCTTTCCTACATCCACAGCAAAGTCAAGGTCATTCATAAAGCTCCCTCGGAAAACTGGGCGATGGAGGTGAGTGCCCCTGCCCCTGCACCCCTTACTTTCTATGGAGGTTGTTGCTGACACACATTCCTGTCCCCAAAGGGAGGTATGGATCCGGAGTCCATGCTGCCAGGGGACCATGATGATGGAAAGACCTATTTCTACCAGTTCTGGTACGATCAAGACTATGCAAGATTTGAGTCCCCTCCCAAGACCCAGCCAACAGAGGACAACAAGTTCAAGTGAGTGTTAGGAGTGGGTTTGGTGGTTCCCTCCCCATGGCCTTGTCCTGCTACTTGAGGACAATATCTGCCCCCCTACTCCATGCCAGTCCCTCTAGTATCCCAGGTGCTCCTGTCTGGTGGGCTTGCTCCCTCTCCATTGGGTTCCTTGCTGACCAAACCTTTCTGACAACCAGAAAGGTTTGACATTTATGGCAACCTGCAGCTAGCTACCTTAGAGTTTTCCTCCCAGGAGCCCGATGTGTCCTCCTACTCATACGTTGCTCAGTGTGGGACAAAGCTTGTGTGAGTTGGGTATTTTATCCTGTAAACAAGATCTTTTATACCATTTTATACTAACTAGTGGGTAGCTATCTAGGGATTTTTTTTTTTTTTCTTTTCTGTTTCTGGAGATAAGAGCGCCCTGTGTTCAACCACTGAGCTACATTTCCATAATTTTGAGACAGGGTCTTGCTGAGTTGCTGAGGCTGGCCTCAAACTTGGCTATTTCGCCTCAGCCTCCCAAGTTGCTAGGATTAAGGGTGTGTGCCACCACACTTGGCCGGATATTTAAAAAAAAAAAAAAAAAGGAGTGCCCTGGGCTTTTCTTCTAATTTTTCTCACACCTGAACAAAAAGCTGCTGCTGTGCCTCAACTGTTGACTATCTTGGGCAGTTTGCTTTTATATCTATCCAGAATTGCCACAACAGAGCACTCTGTAAAATATTGGTTATTTCCCATTGTGGTCATGTTGTCTGAGAACCACGTGGCTCTCAGATCACAAGAGGATCATGCTGCCTGTGGCTAACTCAGGGAATGATCAAAGTTAAAAATCTGAAGTGCAGTTTCTATTGAACACACATTGCTTCACCATCGCAAAGCTGAACCGTCTCGAATTGGACCATTCATATACTGCAGTACAGGTGATAGGGCAAAGGCAAGAAGAGCTCGCTTAGAGCTTTCTGCATTCTCATCAGTTTGCTGGCTTTTTGACTTGTTTCAAATTTTGTATGTGGTGCTGGAGATGGAACCCAGGGCTTTGCATTTGGGAAGCATGTGCCCTGCCACCCGGCTATACCTCCAGTCCTTTGGGGGTGGTTTTTTTTTTTTTTATACTAGGCATTGAACCCAGGGGTGTTCTACCATTGAGCTCCATTCCCCAGCCCTTTTATTTCTTATTGATAAGGAGGCTGTAAGCAATTTAATGAGACCCTAAGTTGCTGAGACTGGCCTCAAACTTGAGATCCTCCTTCATCAGCCTCCCAAGTTATAGGGATTACAGACACACACCACCCACCTGGCCCCTTGATATTTATTTTTAAGGCTGTCTCCACCTCTTTATTCTTAAATAAGTCCTTAATGTTGGACTAGGTGTGATGGTGCATGTCCGTAATCCCATCTACTCGGGATGCTGAGGCAGGAAGATCACAAATTCAAGAAACAAATAAAATGAAAGGGCTGAGAATGTAGCTTAGTGATGGAGCACTTGCCTAACATGTGAGGCCCAGTATCAAAAAAATTGTTGGATTTTTCTCACCCTTTCAGCCTTTATGGGGAGAGCAGGATGAGGCACCTCTGGTTTGAGCGCCTCACTGAGCCACTTTTACATGCTTACTCGGGTGGTGTTAACCATATTCCAGTTTCTGTATTGATGGCCCAAAAGTGGGATTGGCTTGTCATTTTCTCAAGGTGTCTCTCTGGGCTCTGATCCCAAATAAATACCTTCAAAGTGTGACCATAAGTATGAGAAAGCAGTTCCTTTAGATGTCCCCATCTGTGATTCCCTCCGTGGTTACCAGTCTCTGGATTAGACTGGGGGTGGTGGCTGCACAGTCTCTGCCAGTTAGTCCATGGCCACATTTCTGCCTTCACTGCAGGTTCTGTGCAAGCTGTGCCCGACTGGCCGAAATGAGGCAGAAAGAAATTCCCAGGGCTCTGGAGCAGCTTGTCGACCTGGACAGCAAAATTCTCTACAGCTCTGCCACCAAGAATGGCATCCTGTATAGGGTGGGCGATGGCGTGTACCTGCTTCCTGAGGCCTTCACATTCAAGTGAGTGAGTACCCATCTTTGCCAGGCATGGATCCCTCATAGCTGTCCCCCCCATCCCTCAGTACTAGACACTGCCCCATTACTCCTATTAGCATCTGTGGTCACCGCTGTCCATTAGAAAGGTTGCAGTTCCCCTGAGCAGTTAGTTGAGTTTCTATTACTGTAATAAAATGCCCAAGGTGACCTCCGTGTCTCACTCTACAGTCATCAGATATTTTTAATATCTTCTAGTTGTCAATGTTTATTTTTAAGGCTGTCTCCAGCTCTTTAAGGACTTATTTAAGAATAATGTTGGACTAGGTGTGATGGTGCATGTCCATAATCCCATCTACTCAGGGTCGGAGGCAGGAAGATCATAAATGCACTCACCTGGGGTCCCTCTCCAGCTCTGACTATCCCTGAGGCCTCTTCTTGGTTGCCACTTTACTATTTATTTATACTATTTGTTTATACGCGATCTGAGAATCATACCCAGTGCCTCACACATGCTAGCCAAGTGCTCTACCCTGAGCTACAATCCCAGCACTCATTGCAGATTTTATGCCAAATATTCTTACAAGAAAGTGGGGTGCAGCTGTTATGTGAAGACTTTAACATTGTCACTATGACTTAAGTCGTTCATTACTAAACTGTCCTTAGAGCAAGATTAGGATACAGCGTGTCTGTGAATATACTTTAATGTGGTGGCAACAACCGTGAGGAAATACGGTAACTCACACAGAGAAGGTGTGTTTTGCCTCAGCTGTGGAGGTTCTAGTACAAGACCCACAGAGCCCATTGCTTGGGCCTCTGAGGGTGCTGGATGGCCATCAGTGGTAGGGAACACATGGTGAAACCAACTTCTCTCCACGGGCAGGAAGCAGAAAAGGAAAAGAGAAAGAAGCTGGGTCTCACAATTCCCTTCAAGGGCACAAGCCCAGTGACCTAAGGATCTCTAAAGAGTGCCCCCAGGGCATAGAAGCCTCTGGGGGACCTTAACGTCTGAATTACCAGAGTGAAGCTGTGACTTTGTAAGAGGCTGAGAGTGCTGCACTCACCTGGGGTCCCTCTCCAGCTCTGACCAGCCCTAAGGCCTCTTCTTGTTTGCCACTGCATGATGGCAGAGTGCACCTCTCCTGCAGGGTCTCTGGGGATTGAGTTTGGGGCTTTGCCCAGGGCCTGGTTTATGGTACTGGTGTGGTGTGCATGAGTTCCTTGCTTCAGAAGATCTCTCGTCTGTAGGAGGGTTGAGACTCTCCAGGGAAGAAGTCAAAGCCATAGGTAATTCCCACATGTGATCCTTTCCTTGTCTCAAGAGTCGCATGATTGGAATTAAAACCAACACTTTCTGAACTTGGTTCAATTCCTGGATTTCTAGTTTCATTTCCCTAGAGTTCTACTGGGAACTTGCTCCCCAGCCTTAGTTCAGTCACTGAGCTAAGGGATACAGGAAGCAGGGTGCCTCCAGCTTTGGTGTCTTTCGGCTGTGTCACCCCTCAGGCACTGGTTGTCCTGGGGTGGAGGGGTGGCCTCCCTGTTGTGCTTTCTGCCCGGTGCTCCTGACGCATCAGATAGGCCAAGCACAGCACTGAGGCTCCCTGGGAGCCCAGCAGACAGAGGAACCTAGTGGGGAAGACGAGACAGCTGCTGTCCAGAGCAATAGCAGCTGGCTTTCCCATGGGTGTTGGACCAAACTGGAGTTGACCAGGTCCTGTGCCTTCCCTGGGCCTCCAACACTGCTCCTAGGTCACGTGTTTCAGTTGGGATGGCATAGGTCATGCCATAGTGACCACCCACAAATCGGCACACCACAACACTTTCTCTGAGCTCTTAGGAGGTGGGGATGTTTGTCCCAAGGGGCCTCGCTGTTGGATCACTCGGTCCCTGGGCTGTCAGAGCCATCTCCTTGAAGTTGCTAGTCTCTTCCCGAGAAGCACGCTGGACATGCCCACGGTAGCTGAGTGCTCCTGTGTCACTTCTGCTCTTGCTCATTAATTAGAGCTTATCACTTACCAAGAAGTACAAAATACTCCATGCCTGGGAGGCAGGAGGGGAGTTAGCAATTTTTGTGTAGTGGTTAAAACTGAACTAGAGTCTGTCTTGATGCAGACCCGAGGGCACCTTACTGCAGTAGCCGAGAAGCTGTGGACCTGAAATGGTGGTGGTTCCTGCTTCGTCCTGCCAAACTGATCACTGCTTGGCTTAAACACTCATTTGTCCCTGATTGTTGATTCTCTGCAGCATCAAGCTGTCCAGCCCTGTGAAACGCCCAAAGAAGGAGCCTGTGGATGAGGATCTATACCCAGAGCACTACCGAAAGTACTCTGACTACATCAAAGGCAGCAACCTGGATGCCCCCGAGCCCTACCGGATTGGCCGGATAAAAGAGATCTTCTGTGCCAAGAAAACCAATGGCAAGCCCAATGAGTCAGACATCAAGATCAGGCTGAACAAGTTCTACAGGTCAGTGGAGGTCTTTGCCTCTACAAGAGGCTGCAGGCTCTTCTAGAAGATGCTACCTGGAGCCAGGTCGTGCTTGACATAGTACGGTCAAACCATGTTAGAATTGGGTAGAAGCTGGGCATGCTGGCACACACCTTAATCCCATCTACTTGAGAGGCTGAGGCAGGAGGATTATAAGTTCAAGGCCAGCTTGGGCAACATAGTAAGACCCCCCCCCCCCCCCCCACACCCCTCAAAAAAAAAAAAAATCCTCAGGCTTTGTGTATAAGGTGCGGTGAGACAAAGTTTCTTCCCTTGTCCTGGGGATTGAACCTAAGGGCATCTGGGTTGCACTGAGCTGCATCCTCTTCCCTTTGAGACAACTTGGCCAAATTGCTTAGGCTAGCTGTAACTTGAGATCCTCCTGCCTCAGCCTCCTGAAAGCTAAAATTACAGGCATGCTCCTCCATGCCCAGTGAAACAAATGAATTTGTTTAGTCTTAGGTACCAGTCCCAAGATTCCATTACATTATGGAAACTATTTCAAAACCTTAAAAAAAAAAAAATCCAAAACATTTCTTGTCTCAGGTGTTTCAGATGAGGAATTTTCATCTGATTCATTGTAAGTTTGCAGCAAAAGAATCCTTCACAAAGCACCTTCTGCTCACAGGCCCGAGAACACCCACAAGTCCACCTCAGCGAGCTACCATGCGGACATCAACCTGCTCTACTGGAGTGACGAGGAGGCCGTAGTGGACTTCCAGGCCGTGCAGGGCCGCTGCACCGTGGAGTACGGGGAGGACCTGCCGGAGTGCCTGCAGGAGTACTCGGAGGGCGGCCCCGACCGCTTCTACTTCTTGGAGGTGGTGGCCAGGCTCACTGGAGGGGCATCAGAGTCAGACTTAGGAGAAAGCAGTGTGTTCAGGAAGGCGGTTGATTGTGAGGTTATACGTAAAAAGTACTGGCAGTAGGGTTTTGACTTTTGAAAGGAACCAGGTAGTTGGGTGCTATGAGTCCTATTCATCAGGAGCTTTTGGGTGTTACTTGCAAAGCTTTATTCTGCACAGCACTATCTGTAACACTGGTCTGTGAGCCAAGCCTGCTAGGTGGCCTTCAGTAGCCCAACCAGTGCCTTTGTGGGTTGGAAAAAGGTGCCTCTTTCCCAGGAGACACAGTGCTGTCCCTCACCTGGTCCCTTCAGCCAGGTGCCTGTGCCCAGGCCAGACCCACATTACCTTACAGACAGTTGTGGTCATGGACAGGATCCAGGAGCCTGATAAAGCTACTTGCTTTTACATCATTGAAGCTTGACTTTTCCATGTTGGGTTATCTTAAAACGGCACACGTTAGCATTTCCCCAGGTTCCTGCATTGTTGGCCTAATTGGAAGGTGGACCCTTTGTGTAACAGTTCCCTGTTCAGAGTGAGTAGTCCAAATGTTCATAGCCAAAGTTTTAACACTGGCCAGATAAAGTATATATTTTAAAGTTTCTAAAATAAAAATCGGACTGCTCATACTGGTGGCTAATTAGCTGTGGGTCTGTTTAGGGGAAACATTAAGTGACTCTTTGCCAGACTGACTTACGTATCCTATCAGGGAAGGGATTAAGTCATTTCCTTGTGACTGTTGTGGTTCTCTCCTTTTCAGGCCTATAATGCAAAGACCAAAAGCTTTGAAGATCCTCCAAATCATGCCCGTAGCCCTGGGAATAAAGGAAAAGGGAAGGGGAAAGGTATGTCATTATCTGCAGGGTTTATTTCTCTCTTCAGTACTAAAAATGAAACCCCAATGCCTCTTGCATGCTGGGCACGCACTCTGCCCCTAAGCTGCACCAACTGTAGGTTTCGCTTACGGACTCGGAACCACTGCCTTTCCCTCACACTGTGCTGTTAACAACTCAAAATGAGGCTCTTTGATGAAGTGTTGAGCCTGGTAGGACTCTGTCAGTTGGCTTTAATTTGTGGCATGTTCCCCTTAGGGAAAGGCAAGACGAAGTCTCAGGCCTCTGAGCCGAGTGAACCAGAGACAGCAATAAAACTGCCCAAGCTGCGGACCCTGGACGTGTTTTCTGGCTGTGGGGGGTTGTCGGAAGGGTTCCACCAAGCAGGTAAGGATTCTGGCTGTTCTTTTCTCTGAACTAGTCAGACTGGATCCAGCAGCTTTAGCCTGAAGCCCTGCTGGCCCTGGTCACCATCCTGGCTCTGGCCTCTTATGGGAGGCTTCAGAGCATGCCTTTTGTCCTTGTGTGCACCAGGCGTCTCCGAGACTCTGTGGGCCATTGAAATGTGGGATCCCGCGGCGCAGGCGTTCCGGCTGAACAACCCCCGCTCCACGGTGTTCACAGAGGACTGCAATGTCCTGCTCAAGCTGGTTATGGCCGGGGAGAAGACCAACAGCCGTGGCCAAAGGCTGCCCCAGAAGGGCGACGTGGAGATGCTGTGTGGCGGGCCCCCCTGCCAAGGCTTTAGCGGCATGAACCGCTTCAACTCTCGTACCTACTCAAAGTTCAAAAACTCCTTAGTGGTCTCCTTCCTCAGGTAAGTGAGATGGAAGTCTTTGTCACCTACTCCCTGAGGACAAAGACATTACCGGGACGGGAGTGCCAGATGTGCCCCACGCTAGGCTGTGCACCCAGGAAATCCCTAGGCAGTGCTGGAGCCAGCACATTAAGAAGCACAGCTTCAGTAAGACTCCCAAGCAGCTTCAGGTAGGATGGCTCTCTCCCGAGTCCCTGTATGGGTGACTCCCGTGGTCTCTCCTGCCCCCCACAGCTACTGTGACTACTACCGGCCCCGGTTCTTCCTTTTGGAAAACGTCAGGAACTTCGTCTCCTTCAAGCGCTCTATGGTGCTGAAGCTCACCCTCCGCTGCCTTGTCTGCATGGGCTACCAGTGTACCTTTGGCGTGCTGCAGGTGGGCTCCTGGACACAAGCCGGGTGGGCAGTGGTCCCTGGGTTACTGTTCCTGTCTGAAAAGAGGGTACATAGGCTCACTGTCCAAGCCACAGATGGCAGCATGGTCCCCTGCAGTGATGGCTAGGGTTAGGGAGGTGGACACCTGTGCCTGCACTCCCCTGGATGGCATTCTCAGGATTTGGATATAAAAATGGCCAGCCCCCAGCAAGGCCACCTTTTGGTATCCTCTTGAGAGCTGCATCCTCAGTGCCTAGGGAGGGTGCGAGCCAGCATGGAGTGCCGGAATACGCTGCTTCACCCTTTCTTCAAGGAGATGTGAGAACCCTAGAGCCCTGAACCAGCTGAGTTCCCCTTAGCATGTGCTTTTCCTTCTATACGTGTGTGTGTGCAGAACCTTCAGAGGACAGAGGGTCACACTCCAGGAAGCTCCCAATGGCCTGTCAGCAGGGATAGGAATAGTCAGGGGCCAGGGCTTAGCTGAAAATCCTCTGCTCCATGGACCTCTGCTCAGACAGAGTATAACTAAACATGAAGCAGCTGTCAAAGTGGGAGGACACTGGGCCCCAGTCCCCGTGAGTAAGTGAGCACCAGGGGGAGCAGTGAAGCCTGGTCAGCAGTCTGTCCCTGTGACCATCACCATCAGGTAAGTGGCAAAGCGCTCACCTATTCTTGAGGTTCCGTGCAGTTTTCCAAAGAGTTGGCTGAAGTCACCAGCTCCTTCTCATCCTCTCCAAGTGGCCACTGTGTGGGACGTTCCTCTTACTAGAAAGGAACCCACAGGGTCAATTAGGAATCCTATAGGCGAGTTTTGTCCTATGTCCTCTGAAAGTTAGGTGCTGTGGGCCCCAGTCCTGAGTCCACATGGTCAGATGCCCCACTGACCACACGCATGTCTGACCCTACTCACAGGCTGGTCAGTATGGTGTGGCCCAGACCCGGAGGCGGGCCATCATCCTGGCTGCGGCCCCTGGAGAGAAACTCCCCCTGTTCCCAGAGCCCCTGCATGTGTTTGCACCCCGTGCCTGCCAGCTGAGTGTCGCGGTGGATGATAAGAAGTTTGTCAGCAACATCACCAGGTAGGGGGCCTCTCACCCCTGTGCCACACAGAGCTGGCGGCCATCGTGAGTTTATGGGCTTCACCTGGAGAGGTTGGCTGCTGGGTCTGTCAAGAGGCCTGAGCCAAGGAGCCAGACGGTAGTATATGGACGGCCTGCCATGAGGTTGGTCTGTGCCACCTCCAATCTTAGGTTTGTCCCCTTGCAGAGGCCACACCACAGCTGTTCTCTGCTTCAACCAGCTAAAGAAGGCTGCCCTTGTGCCAGACAGCAATGACCTGAGCTGGGCAGTCTGCTCTGGAGAGGGCAGTGCAAATAGCCAGGGGTGGCAGCTATGACGAGGGGACAGCAGTGTGTGATCCCAACAGTATCGACTCTGCTCTGCTGCAGGTTGAGCTCAGGTCCGTTCCGAACCATCACGGTGCGGGACACGATGTCGGACCTCCCTGAGATCCGGAACGGGGCCTCGGCGCAGGAGATCTCCTATAACGGGGAGCCTCAGTCCTGGTTCCAGAGGCAGCTTCGGGGCTCGCACTACCAGCCCATCCTCAGGGACCACATCTGTAAGGTAGTGGCTTTTCAGGATGGTGCCTCATTGGCCACAGCCTGGCTCCCCCGCATCCCAGACAGTCACTTTCCAGGAGCCAGCTTGTGGGCTGAGCTCTGGCCAGGCAGCACAGACTATTCCTAGGCCCTCTCCTCCTCTTGGGGTCCTCGTAGCCAATGCATAGCCACTGCCTCTCCACTCTTGGCCCCTAATCCAAGCTTGTATCATCCACTCAGTGTCATGCTTGCCCCTGTCCCTTCACTTACTCTTTCCCTAGCCCTCCCCAAACACTATTCCGCATCTCTTACGGCCCTAGTGTCTTGTGGTCATTCCTGAGCTGGGGTTAGGTTAACTTTTTGGCCCCTCCCCATGACATGAGCCCCTAAGATTCCCAGTCACACTGGTGTTCCCAGTGCCCAGAGCGATGCCCAGCCACAGTGTATACTCAGGTTCCCCTTACGCCAGGCGACAGCCAGGGCTCCTTATGCACTTTCAGGACATGAGCGCATTGGTGGCCGCCCGTATGCGTCACATCCCCCTGGCCCCGGGCTCAGACTGGCGCGATCTGCCCAACATTGAGGTGCAACTCACTGACGGCACCCTGGCCAAGAAACTGCGCTACACCTACCACGACAAGAAGAACGGCCGCAGCAGCTCCGGCGCCCTGCGTGGAGTCTGCTCCTGTGTGGAAGGTTAGGACCCAAAGATCATGGCTCCCCTGCAGTAGGGGCTGGGGAGGGGACTGCTGCTGGGCTTCCCCAGAAGCCCATACTTGGCGAGGGCTTCCAGCTTAAGGAGGCAATGCCCAAGTCGGAATCCCCAAAAAATTAGTTTCCAGGAGTGTTAAGTCAAAGTGGCTGTGGGGCTGGGGCTGGGGCTCGGCAGAGCGCTTGCCTAGCATGCATGAGGCACTGGGTTCGATCCGGCCCCCACATAAAAAAAATAAATAAATAAAGGTATTGTATCCATCTACAACTAAAAAAATGTTTTTAAAAAGTGGCTCTGCCCACCAAGTGGGACTGCCAGCTGCTCAGTGGGTGAGTGCTATGCACAGCGGGGGCTTGCCGTGTACCCAAAGCTTCTCCGCGCCCCCTCGGGCCTCCCTCCTGCTCCTGCCCCTCCCTCCTGCCCCTCCCCCTCCCTCCTGCCCCTCCTTCCTGCCGCTGTGTCCTTATTGCAGTCTTCTCTTCCAGCAGGTAAAGCCTGTGACCCCTCCGCCAGACAGTTTAACACCCTCATCCCCTGGTGCCTGCCCCACACCGGAAACAGGCACAACCACTGGGCCGGCCTGTACGGACGGCTTGAGTGGGACGGCTTCTTCAGCACAACTGTCACCAACCCCGAGCCTATGGGCAAGCAGGTGGGTCCTGGGCAGGGACAGCCAGCCAGGCCTTGCACTGGGAGGGGTGGGGCGCATGTCGGGATCTAGCCTGCCTCCCACACCCTGTACTGGTGGAGGTGGGTGTGCTGGCCCTGACTGGACACCCCCTCCCCCCATTGGTGAGCCAGCCCTGGACTTGCCCCCTTTCCCACCGTGTACCCTGCCTGTCTGCCCCCAGGGACGTGTGCTTCACCCCGAGCAGCACCGCGTGGTGAGTGTGCGGGAGTGTGCCCGCTCCCAGGGCTTCCCTGACACCTACCGGCTGTTTGGCAACATCCTGGACAGGCACCGACAGGTCAGTGAACAGCCTGGTCACACATCACTGCTGCAGCCCCACCTAGATGGAAAGGAACCTCTGTCCAGAGTGAGCCCTGTACAGCCTCGGAGGACAGGCTGAGCCCCAGAGCTTGTCAGCCACATGTTCTCAGCACTCAGTGCCCAGGGGGACTATGGAACCAAGTCACCCTGTTGCTGGCACTGAGAGCTTACGAATTGGGCTGTGTCGCCAAGGGCATGTGATCTGTAGCTCTGAGGCTGAGATTCAGCCCAAAGGAAAGTTCAGAGACCCCAACGGAACAGGTTAAACGGAACAGTGGCAAACTTACCTTTACTAAGGATTCAAATGGACCGGATTCTTAGGGTGGTAGTGTGACTTTTAGATGTATTGCCATCAATGTAATGACTCATGAATCCAGCAGAGCTGAGGTGACATACCTGCAATCAGTGACTTGGGAGATGATCACAAGTTCAAGGGTCTAAGCAATATAGTGAGACCCTGTCTCAAAATGAAAAAAAGTGGGGGGGCAGGGCTGTAGCTCAGTAGTAAAGCGCCCCTAGGTTTAATCCCCAGTACCAAAGTCTCCCATTAAGGCCTGGGATCCTAGCAAAAGCCACCTTTTACCCCAGATCTGCTTCCCTTTCTCTAGCTTTGAGTCTTCTAAAGCCCTTTAAAGGGCTGGGCTCAGTGATACAGGCCTATAATCCCTGGGGCTGGGGAGCTTGAAGCAGGAGGATCACAAGTTCAAAGCCAGCCTCAGCAAAAGCAAGGTGCTAAGCAACTCAGTGAGACCCTGTCTCTAAATAAAATACAAAGTAGGGCTGGGGATATGGTTGAGTGCCCCGAGTTCAATCCCTGGTACTTAAAACCTTTAAAGAATCTTTTTGTTGTTGTTGTTTTGTTTGTTTTGTTTTGTTTAATGACATATGGGTGTTGGGGGGATGGGCCAACTGGAAGGCCAAGGGCCATTGTGATAGAAAGGCCTTGGGGGCCCATGTGGGACATGGGCAGGAGGCCAGCCCCAGCCCTCAGGGTCCCATTCCCCACATCATGCCTTGTTCTGAGTAGAGGCTGTTCCAGGGCATTGGTCCAGCTCTGCCAAGCAAGCAGCACCCTTCTTCCTTCCTGCAGGTGGGTAATGCTGTGCCACCTCCCCTGGCCAAAGCCATTGGCTTGGAGATCAAGCTCTGTATGTTGGCCAAAGCTCAAGAGAGTGCCTCAGGTATGCGGGGTTGGGGCTGGTGGATGGGTTTCCTCCTGAGCCTGCCTTCCCTCTGGCTGTTCCTGAGGGCAGCTGGATACAGCTCTGCTCCAGGATTCATGAGATTCACCAGCACTATCCACCCAGCAGAGGGGTGCTGTGAGGACTGGTGATCTCACATCCAGGGCTTAGAACAGGAGCTGACATGGTAGGCATACTGCCAGGCCCCTCCCTCCTAGGCTAACCCAAGCAGTGGAGCAGACTCTAGGGAACATGACCTCCAAATTTTCCTTTGTAACTGACAGGTCTTCATTGGGTCCACCATTAGCATCCGGGGTGTTAATTCTTCCCAACTTGATGTTTTTTTTGTGTGTGTGTGTATGGGGCTGGGGTGGAACCCAGGCTTCAAGCATGCTGGGCAAGTGTGCTACCATGAAGCTGCACCCTCAGCCCTAAGTATATTCTTATGCTTGCATATGGCTTTAGTGTGACACTGTTCCTAAGGTAATTCTTCCTTTTGTTTCCCTTCAGCTAAAGCAAAGGAAGAGGTGGCTGCTAAGGACTAGCTTCACCCTCCATCACTCTTTTTTCTGGCACCAGGAATCCCCAACATGCACTGATGTTGTATTTTTAACATGTTTAAATCTGTCAGTTCAGATGTGTTGTACACAGTGTTTGTGGCCTTGGCTGACATGAAGCTGTTCTGTGAGGTTTGCTGAACTAATGACTTAGTGATCAAACTGTGCAGTTCTTTGTGCATTCTGGATTTTAAAAGTTTTTTATTATGCATTATATCAAATTACCACTGTACAAGTGGAAATTAAGACTTTATGTAGTTTTTATATGTTGTAATATTTCTTCAAATAAATCTCTCCTATAAATCACCTGGGGTAGTGACTGATTGATGCAGGGCTCTGGCTGCCTTTTGGCCCAGGTTGGACAGGAAAAGGCTCCTCAGCACTGAAGGTGACACCATGTCTCCAAGTGTTCTGGGGGTGGAGTTGACTGTGGCTCACTTCTGGCCAATGAGATGCAAAAGGAACTTGCTAGTGTGACTTTCATAAAAGGCTTCTAAGATCTGACTTTCTCCGTGGTCCTTCTGCTCTTCTTCGATCTGGAGCAGACTGATGCCTGTTGATTCCCCAGCCACTTTGTGACCATGAAGACACAAAACCCCATGCAGTGAACAGGGCAGCAAGAAGTCACCCTAGAGCCACTCTCAAAGCCCTAATCTGCCTACCCCAGACAAAAGCCCCTTGGTTCTTGGGAGGCCGGGGCAGGAGGATTGAAGGTTTGAACTCGGTCTCGCTAAATTGCTGAGGCTGTCTCAAAGGTGGTGGTGCAGGATGTGGCTTAGTGGTAAAGTGCCCCTGGGTTAAATCCCCAGTATCAAAAAAACAACCAGAAAAACCTTGTTTGCTTAAAACCGTTTGGCTGAAAATTCAGGAAGCCCAGCTAACTTAATCCTACTGAATTCTAAGATGAACAAAACTTTAGTGATCACTGTGTATGATTCTAAATGCAGACAAGAAGTGTCCACTGCCTACGTGTAACCAAGAGCCACTAGGGTGTTGTAACAAGGGCCCCACCATCTCTCTACTTCTCTAAGTGGCCCACATGGGGGCACTTCAACTAGCTTTTCTCTCAATGAGTCACAGATGTCCTGATCATAAGACTAAAGGACTCAATATGATGGAATGCAAAGCTTACTAAATTCCTTCAGTAATTGCGTGCTTTCCCCCTCTCGGCTCCTAAAAACTTCACCATACTTGACATTCTAGTACATTCTCTTCCCTCGTCTCCAGGGAAATATCTAGAAAGGATTCCTGGGTCACTGGATATAAGTGTTTCGATATTTTTACTTCAGCACAGGTGACTTAACTACCTCTGGGAAGGCTTTAACACCTCCCCCAACAGTGCAGACTCCTCAACCCACCTTTTCTTTTGCTCTAATATTGCCAACTGGATAGTCAGAGTGGCTTTTTTTTTTTTTTTTTTTTTTTAATTTGGTCTTGCTATGTTGCCCAGGCTGCTCTGGACCTCTGAGCTCCAGTGATCCTCCTAAGGTGGTCCCACAAGTGCACACCACTGTAGTTGACTTAAGTTTCCCCAGAGGTGGGCATCAAACCCAGGGCCTTGTGTGTGCTAAGCAAGTTCTCTGCCACCTGAGCTCTATTCCCAACCCCTGCACCACCTCCTCTCCTTTGTTTTTTTTTAGGTACCAGGGATTGAACCCAGAGGTGCTTGCCCATTGAGCCACATTCCTTGTCCTTTTTGTGTTTTGAGACAGGGACTCACTAAATTGCTTCTCTTGCAGTACTGGGGATTAAACCCCTGGGTATTTACCGCTCACCTGTACCCCAGTCCTTTTTATTTTTGTGATACTGGAGGTTGAACCTAGGGATGCTCTTCCACTGAGCTTCACCCAGTTTTTAATTTTTAGTGTTTTTTTTTTTTAAGAGAATTTTTTTTTAAATATTTATTTATTTATTTATTTTAGTTTTTGGCAGACACAACATCTTTGTTTGTATGTGGTGCTGAGGATCAAACCCAGGCCGCACACATGCCAGGCGAGCGAACTACCACTTGAGCCACATCCCCAGCCCTTATTTTTAGTTTTGAGACTGGATTTTGCTAAGTTGCTGAGGCTAAACATTAACTCCCTTTTCCCCTTCCCCCGGCCCCGACAACCACCCTTCTTCCTATAGGAATCTGACTGTTCAGGGTACCTCATGGAGATGGAGTCGTAAGCACTGTCCCTCTGCCTGTCTTCTTTCACTTCGTATGGTTAGGATCATTCCCTTTTGAGTGCAGCCATGTCCCATTGTATGAATGGACCACATTTTTGTTACCCATTCATCACTGATGGCCACCTGAGTTGCTTCCACCTTTTTGCTATGTGAGTCATGGTGGCATGAATATAAATGTGTCCAAGATCCCAGTTTTGATCCTTTTGTGTAAAAACCAGAATGGAATTGTTGGACCATATGGTGATTCTTTCTTTTTATTTTATTTTTAAAATATTCTTTAGTAGTGGATGGGTACTATACGTTTATTTATTTTTATGTGGGGCTGAGGATCAAACTCAGTGCCTCACATGTGCAAGTCGAGCTCTCTGCTACTGAACCCCAGCCCCAGCCCCCATATGGTGAGTCTAACTTTACTATTTGAGGAATTACCACATTATTTTCCATAGCAGCAGGTTGTTTTTAATGAAAAATACAGGTCCCTGTCTACTTCCCTAAACAACCACAATCAGGATGTTGCTCGCTCTCTCTCTCTCTCTCTCTCTCTCTCTCTCTCTCATGTTAGGGCTTTAAAAAAAAAAAAAATACTTTTAGCTTTTTACAGTACTGGGGATTGACCCAGGGGCATTCTGCCACTGAGCCACATATCCAGCCCTTTTTATTTTGATTTTTTTTAAATATTTTTTTAGTTGTAGATGGACACAATACCCTAATTTTGTTTATTTGGTTTGTTTGTGTGGTGTCGGGCATCGGACCCCCTGCCTCACGCATGCCAGGCAAGCGCTCTACCACTGAGCCACAACCCCAGCCCTCCTTTTATTTTGAGACAGGACTTTGCTGAATGACTGAGGCTGGCCTTGACTGGTGGGTTATAATTATGCCTATTAGTGGGATCCATCGTTAATATTCATACATGCACACAACACAGTTTGGTCCATTGAGCTCCCCAGGACCCTTTCCCTCCTCTCCTTCCCACTTGTCCCCTTCCTCTCTGCACTGAGCTCCCTTCTATGCCCTATCTCCTTTCTATCCATAGTTTTCCAGTGACCACATCTGTGTGTCATCAGCTTAGTATTTCCTGTATCTTTAAAAATATTAGGTAAACTGAGTGCCATGGAGCATACCTGTAATTCCAACAACACTGGAGGCTGAAAACAGGAGGATTGGAAGTTTGAAGCTCTCAGCAATTTAGTGAGACCCTGTCTCAAAAAATAAAAAGGGCTGTGGTGCACGCCTGTAATCCCAGTGGCTCAGGAGGCTGAGGCAGGAGGATTGGGAGTTCAAAGACAGCCTCAGCAAAAGTGAGGCTCTAAGCAACTCAGCGAGACCCTGCCTCTAAATAAAATACAAAATAGAGCTGGAGATGTGGCTCAGTGGTTGAGTGCCCCTGAGTTCGATCCCCGGTACCCAATAAATGAAAAATAAAATTAAAAATGAAAAGGGTTGGGGATGTATCTCAGCAGTGACAAAGTGCCTCTGGGCTCAATCCCCCGTATCAATAAGAAAAAGAAATCAGGTGCATGTTATTCTACCGTACCTCTCTGCCACATCCTTTTCTCCCAGCAGTGTTTGGAGTTTCTAAAGAAACAAACTAGAAAATATCTTAAATTCTACAACAACCACATGGATGATCAGCATTTGTATCTTTTTTCTTTTTTTTTTCCCCATGAGGAACCTCTTGCTATAATATGTCCTTAAGTGTCCCCAAAGTTCTATTGGAGGCATGGTCCACAGGATGGCACTATTGGGAGGCTGGAGAAACTAAAGACGTGGGGCCTGTTAGGTCTTTGTATCATTGGAGCATGATTCTGAGGGGGTAGACGGACCCCTGCTCCTCAGTCTTCTTTTCTCTTGCACATACTGCATCATGTGCCCCCACCCGTCCCACCTCCCCTTGCCCTTGAGCAGTGAAGCCAACCACCCACACACTGACTTTAAAACTGTGGGTCACTGTTGAATGAATTTTATCATAAAATGATTGAGCTACAGCTATGTAAAGAACATGAATAAATATTGCGATCATATTATTAAGAGAAAAAAGCCAGGCACAAAGAATACAAATTTTTTAAGCCCACAAAGCTCAAAAAACATGCAAAACTAGGGGCTCGGCGGTAGAGCGCTTGCCTAACATGTGTGAGGCACTGGGTTTGATTTTCAGCACCACATACAAGTAAATAAAATAAACGACCAATGACAAGTAAAAAATAACTTTCAAAAGCATGCAAAACTAATCCATGATGTCTGATATGCTAAAACCATGAAAGTGTGGAAACAAATACCATAAAACAGGCAGCAGTGACCTCCTTTGTGGAGGTGGGTTGTCGTAGGGACTTATAATGGGAAGAGGCATGGAAAAGTCTTCTGAGTGTTGGAAACATTTCATATTTGACCTGGGGTGGTGGTTATATGGAAGGCTTATTTTAAAATGATTTATGGAGTTTCACTTTTCTACATATTTGTCATATTTCATAATAAAGAAGTTAAAGGCAAAAAAAAAAAAAAAAAACAACTGTGGGTCAAGTCGGGCACAGGGCTGCACCCCTGTAATTGCAGGGACTTGGGAGGCTGAGACAGGAGGATCTCAAGTTCAAGGCCAACCTCAGCAACTTAGTGAGGCCCTGTCTCAAAATGAAACAAATAGAAAGGGCTGGGGATGAGGCTCAGTGGTTAAGTGCTGCTGGGTTCAATTCCCAGTAACAATCAATCAAGACCGGGTCCTGGGCTGGGGATATAGCTCAGATGGTAGATGCTTGTCTCGCAGGCACAAGGCCCTGGGTTCAGTCTCCAGCACCACAAACAAAGACAGGGTCTTGCTAAATTGCTGAGGACCTCACTAAGTTTCTCAGGCTGGCCTTGAATTTGAGATCCTCTTGCTTCAGTCTCCCAAATGGCTGGGATTACAGGTGTGCCACCACACCTGGCCTCGTCTAGCTGTTTCTGATAGTTCTTTCTAGTAAATGACTTGCATGTAACTTCACGTCTATGTGCTATTAAAGATTTTCACAGGCTGGTGTCGTGGTGCACGCCTATAATCCCAGCAACTCAAGAGGCTGGGGCAAGAGGACGGCAAGTTCCAGACCAGCCTTGGCAATTTAGTGAAGCTCTAAACAACTTAGTGAGACCCTGTCTCAAAATAAAAAATAAAAAGGGCTGGAGGGGGGGTACAGCTCATCAGTGAAGCACCCCTGGGTTTCATCCCCAGCACTCCCCCCAAAGAAAAGGTTTTCAGAAACTAAGAGTTGCGTGGAGTTCAGTGATAGAGTCTGTGCCTTGCATGTATGGAGCCCTGGGTTCCATCCCCAATGCCACCAAAAGAAAAGAAAAAAAAAAAAAAAAGAGGATTTGCACAAATTGGTTCTTGTAACATTTTACAGCTTTCTTCCTACACTTATCAGGAGGAAGAAAAGGATCATCTCTATCCTCTGAATGTTATCTTAATTTTTTTTCTGGTACAAACTCAGGGACCCTCGACCACTGAGCCAATCCCCACTGGGCCAATCCCCAGCCCTATTTTGTATTTTATTTAGAGACAGGGTCTCACTGAGTTGCTTAGCGCCTCGCCATTGCTGAGGCTGGCTTTGAACTCACGATCCTCCTGCCTCAGCCTCCTGAGCTGCTGGGATTTTAGGCATGCACCACGCGCCCAGCTATCTTATTCCTAACCCTTGCCTTGACTTTTTAAATTTTCTTTTACATAAACACAAATAGATCTACATTCTTCAAGGCCACCCAGTGTTTCCCAGGGGATGACTTTGCTGACCATAATCTATTCAAGCAACCCTTGTGGACGAGCAGACAGGGGCTCCCAGTGGTGGTACCATGAGCCACGGGCACGGACTTCTCACATCAGAGCACATTTACAAACTTGCAGGTGAAGTTATTAGCTGACTCAAAGAAAAATTCCTAGGGCATTATATGTTTTTGAAAGTATTGCCTAATTTCCATCAGAAGAACTATCATAATTTTTTTTTTTTTTGGTGGAGCTGAAGATGGAGCCCAGGGCCTGGTGGCTGCTACACCCTCAGACTGTGTTTACATAATTTTAGACACTAATGTTGTGTGTTGGTGTTACATTTCTACATTCTTACTACACATGGATAACACAAAACTTTAAGTTTTGCCCATTGGCTAGTTTGTTTGGATTTTGCATTTCTTGGAGTAAATTTGAATAAGCCTATACAGTTTTTTTTTTTTTCAGTGCTAGGAATTGAACCCAGGGTTACTCTATCCTGCCCCTGGCTGCTTGCACAAATTTTTACTGGGACTTTGTGTAAACTTTATATTTTCATTCATATTGCCACACACCACTCTCCTAAAAGACGACACTGATGTTCCTCCTCTTTCTTAGACTGCTTCCCAGCCTCCTTCCTGTTCTGCTAATTTCCCCTTCCACATTGCCCCCTACTGGCTACCCAAATCATTTTTCTCACAAGAACCTATGGTGGGGCTGGGGGATGTGGCTCAAGTGGTAGCGCAGTGGCCTGGTATGTGCAAGGCACTGGGTTTGATCCTCAGCACCACATAAAAATAAATAAAGATATTGTGTCCACCTAAAACAAAAAAAATAAATATTTTTTTTTAAAAAAAGAACCTATGGTTACCACAGGGCGCCTCTCAAACACTTCAGTGACCTTATGCCTGCAAGGATGAAGAAGAGTGGCCCACATCTGTAATCTCAGCAACTCAGGAGGTTGAGGCAGGAGGATTGCAAGTTTGAGGCCAGCCTCAGCAACTTAATGAGGCCCTAAGCAACAGCGAGACCTTGTCTTGAAATAAAAAATAAAAGGGCTGAGGATGTGGCTCAGTGGTTAGGCACCCCTGAGTGCAATCGCTGGTAACTAAAAAATAAAAAAGCCCTCTGATTTGGTTTTCACCTCTCTCCAAAAGCGTATTAGTTGAGCACTTACTATGTGTGGAGCACAGTCAACGTGTATGTTAATGATTCAGGATGAAACAAAGCAGGCAAATATTTGCTTTCTCTAGCTAGCATTCTAGCGCATGACTTTTTCCCTCATTACTGCTTTCCTAAGGAAAAATAAATGGAATTATTTTCTAATTGAATCTAAATCAGTAAATTCGTTTTAATCTAATTACATTCAGTTTCTTCCTGACAATAGAAATTAAATCCTGAGGGTTTTTTTTTTTTTTTTCTGTTAGGGTTGACTTTGGAGGTCCAAATATATTTAAGATTTTTTTTCCTTCTCCATCCAAGAACCAATTTTGGCCTCCTGGTGTGTCCTAATGCTTACACTGAGAATGTGTGTTCTTAGAGGGAAAACTGACAACGAGTTAATGAACACAATTCCATCAGAGGGCTGTGGCTGAATCTCAGGGAGAGTGTGTGCTGAGCATGCATAAGTCCCTGGGTTCCATCCCAGCACAACATTAAAAAAAATGGTATCAGAGAGCAGGGTGAGGTGGCACATGCCTGTAATCCCAGTGGCTCAGGAGGCTGAGACAGGAGGATCACAAGTTCAAAGCCAGCCTCAGCAACTGAAAGACACTAAGCAATTCAGTGAGACTCTGTCTCTAAATAAAATACAAAATAGAGCTGAGGATGTGGCTGAGTGGTCAAGTGCCCCTGAATTCAATCCCCTTCCCCGCCCCCGAACAATGTTATCAGAGAAGTAACAATGCTACAAAGAAAGAAGAGAGAGTGGCTGTGAAGGGGCCACTTGACATTTTGTCATTCAGATAACGGTATTCCATAGGCTGGGGCTATAGCAGGCTAGGCTTGCCTCGCATGCACAAGGCCCTGGGTTCAACCCCCAGCACTACAGGGGAAAAAAAAAAGTAACTTCTTCTTCAGATAAGGGAATTCCTCCCCAGATAAGGAGAAACAGCCCAGGCAAAGGGATAGTTTCCTCCTTACAGTGCAGCACAGAGTGTAGGGTTGGGTTCTTTGTCTTGCGAAAAACAATTTTTTTTTTTTTTGGTGGCACTGGGGATTGAATGTCTTGCAAATTTGAAGAATGAAACCCACAGACACAGGGTGAGGGCAAAATAACCAAAATAACGTGATTTATTAGAGTAATAGAAAGCATAGCTGCTGAAGTGGGAAGGGTCCCAAGAGAGGGACACAGAGAGTGGCTGCTGTCCAGGGGTTAATGTGAACCTACAGGGTTAAGGAAGCCAGTCCCTGACCTAATCCCAGGTAAGGCACTCAGAGTCCACAAGCTCCTCTCACACCCTCTGGTTGTCCAGCCGGGTTACTGTGCCTTTATTTGATGGGGGTCTGGGTACCGGGCAACAGGTGTCTGTCTATCAGTTTTTCTGCTTCCACAGGAATTGGCCTGCCCTTAATGAGGCCTGCTTGCAGTTTCTCAGCCCTGTTACACAGAGACCTGACCTGGAAGGGGCTCCAATTTCCTTTTTGCTAATTTTAGCCCTTTTCCTGCCTTATCAGTACCTGGCATACAATAATCGCTGCATATGTGAGCATTCTTCTTCTTATTAATTATTATTATTATTATTATTATGTGTGATGCTGGGGATCAAACTCAAGGTCTTGAGCAGGCTAGGCAAGTGGACCACTGGGCCACATCCTAGTACAATTAGTGGGGTTTTTAGCCAGATGTAGTGGCGAGCACCTGTAGTCCCAGCTGCTGAAGGAGGCTGAAGCAAGAGCATCATTTGAGCCCAGGAGTTCCCGGCCACCCTGGGCAACATAGCAAGCTCCCATCTCTTAAAAAAAAAAAAAAAAAAGTGAACTTTAGATCTGGAAGCGGTGGCGGGGACTCGGGAGGCTGAGGTAGGATTGCAAATTCAGGGTCAGCCTGGGCAATTCAGTGAGACCTTATCTAAAAAAAAAAAAGACTGGGTAACTGTAACTCTGGGGTAGATTACTCCAGAGTACAGAAAAAAAAAAAAAAGACTCGTTATCCTCTCCTCTCCTCTCCTCCCATTTACCCTGTTTTTTTTTTCTTTTTCTGCCTTCCTGCCTTCCCTCCCTCTCCCCTCCCCCGCCCTCTCTTTTTCTTTCTTTCTTAAATCCTGAGATGGCATCAGCTCCCTTAACTTTAGTTACCAGCGTCCTGGGGAGTCTGCCCCTGGCGTGTCCACCTCCATCCGCAGGGGGCGCTGTGGACGTGAAGACCGGGCTACTCTAGCCGGCGGCGGAACCAGAAGTTTCGTTCCCCCGCACTTCCGCCCTCTGGCCCGGGCTTAAGCTGCGTGGGGAAGACTTGGCGATGCCGACCGGAGACTTTGAGTGAGTACGGGGTCGCGGAGGAGCTCTCGGGAGGCGATCGGGGGGATTCTGGGGAGTGTTATGGGGCCGAGATGTGCCAAGGCCGCGGAGGGTGGCCCTCACTGACCCAACCGCCATTCTCCGCAAACTTGTACCCGCAGTTCGAAGCCCAGCTGGGCCGACCAGGTGGAAGAGGAGGGAGAGGACGGTGAGTGAGTGTAGCGGGTCGCCCTGGATCACCCCACTGCCGCCTGTTTTGGTGCTCCCCCTCCCTCCCCGCGCCATCCTCCTCGGGTCCTGCCTGTTGCCAACTCCCATGTCACTGCCACAGTCTTCACAGCTGCTCCCTACTCCAGGGAGGAAGTTGGAAAGCCTGCCTTTGTACCAGCGCCTGGGTGACTTTATGGCCCGTCCCCCACTTTCATGGCCGGGATCCCTACCCTTGCCACTGCTTAGGGTTACCACCCAGCCGGATGCCTGGCCAGCCCTTTGCCCTTGGTCCTGCCTTCATCAGCTCCTGGTGTGGAGTTGTCCCAGAGGTCCTTTCATCTTAGCTTAGACCTTTCTTCCCACACTCCCTCTGACAGACAAATGTGTCACCAGCGAGCTCCTCAAGGGCATCCCTCTGGCCACTGGCGACACCAGCCCAGAACCTGAGCTACTTCCAGGAGGTAAGTGACCTCCTCCACTCTACCCCTGGGCTATGTAGTTGTCTCCCACCTCACCCCAGTCTCTCTCTGTCACCTGGAACTCTTGTGTTTCCCCAGCCACATTCCCACCTGGGTCTCCATTACCCAGGGCAGTCTCCCTCAACTTTTCCCTTCTCCCAGCTCCACTGCCACCTCCTAAGGAGGTTATCAATGGAAACATAAAGACAGTGACTGAGTACAAGATAGATGAAGACGGCAAGAAATTCAAGGTGAGGCTAGAGTGGTGACAGAGGGTGAGTCCCCTGGTGCTTGGGGGCACATAGATTGAGTGGGTTGATGATGAAGATCCCCTGGTCCCAGGAACTTTGGAGTGCAGGAAGCCTGACACTCTCCCCTTTCATCCACAGATTGTCCGCACCTTCAGGATTGAGACCCGAAAGGCCTCTAAGGCTGTTGCAAGGAGGAAGGTGAGACCCTCCTTCCCCTGTTTTAGGAACTGACCCAGGAATCACTGTTGGAGGAAGGGTTTAACTGTTTGCACCTGTGTTGTCAAAGCAAAATTGAGCTCTGAGTATTTTCGCATTCTTCTGGGGCCTTGAAAAGTCCAGGGTACAGAAGTAGACAGTATTAGATTCTTGTTTTTTTTTTTTTTTTAACCTCTCGTACCAAGGATTGAACTAAGGTCATTGCATATGCTAGCCAGTCACTCTACCTCTGAGATACATCCCCAACTTTTTTTTTTTTTTTGGTGTAAATTTATTAGGAATTGAGCCCAGGGGTGTTTTACAGTTGAGTTGCACCCACAGCACATTAACTCATTTTTTTAAAAAAAGAATGTTTTTTGAGATAGGGTTTTGCTGAGTTGTCCAGGCTGACTTCAAACTTGAGATCCTCCTGCTTCAGCCTTCTGAGTAGCTGTACTTATAGGTGTGTGCCACCACACCTGTCCTGGGGCTAGATTCTTATTCCTCTTGGACTGTCTACCTGGAGGAACTAGCCCTCCCTTGGGGTGGCATAGCAGCTTTCATTTACCCAGGATTCAGGGCTTCTGGAAGAAGTAACAGCATTAAGTACATTTAATACATTTTGCTCTGCACTTTGTGCCAGACACCATGCCAGGCACTGATCTCCATAGCAGCCCAGGGAACATTTGTGGTCCCCATTCTATAGGGGGTAAGTTGAGGCTCACTGTTTAAAGTCTCTCAAGGTTCCTCACTCTGAGTGACCCCCCACATTCCTGAGCATTGCCTCCTGGCGGGAGCTGGCCCAGCAAGCTGCCCTGGGAATTATTGACTATGTAGTTGGCTCCCACCTCACCCTGAGTCTCTGTCACCTGGAACTCTTGTGTTGATTGAGAGCTGCCCCTGCTTCCTCAGAAATGGGAACAGTCACTGTTCCCATGATGGGGAGGTGTTTGGAGAGAGTAAAAATGGGGTACTCTAGGCAGTGGTAGGCCTGGGGTGCCCCAGTGTGGGACCCCAGTCTTTATCCTGACCCATCCCTCTCTGAGCCTAGAACTGGAAGAAATTCGGAAACTCAGAGTTTGACCCACCAGGCCCCAATGTGGCCACCACCACAGTCAGTGATGATGTCTCCATGACATTCATCACCAGCAAAGAGGTAGGTGGGGCTGAGGGTGGGGCTGGTGCCCAGGGTGGTGGTAGCAGGCGTGAAGCAGCCCCCTCTGAGCTGCTGCCACCTGCTTCCCTGCCAGGACCTGAACTGCCAGGAGGAGGAGGATCCGATGAACAAGCTCAAGGGCCAGAAGATAGTGTCCTGTCGCATCTGCAAGGGTGACCACTGGACCACCCGCTGCCCGTACAAGGACACGCTTGGGCCCATGCAGAAGGAGTTGGCAGAGCAGCTAGGCTTGTCCACGGGCGAGAAGGAGAAGCTGCCGGGAGGTACGGCATGGCCTGGGGTGGCGCGGGGTGGGATTGGGCACCTGGAGCGTCCTGGGCTGAGCTGGCTCTGTGTGTACAGGTGCTGTCCCTTTTGTAGCTGTCATCTCCCACTTAACAGCATCCGTGGCTGTGCTCCATTGGGCCTGTCTCCTTGTTGGGGCCCTGTGTGTGCTCAGACACCCTCAGTGATGGTACTCATGTCCACACCTGTGTGTGTAACTGCACTGAATGTGATTGGGATGTGGCTGTCCCTTGTATGTGACTCCCTGACTGATTCTCCTCACCATCGTGACTTGAGTGTGTGTGTCTGTGGGACTCAAGTGCCTGTCTGAGGTCTCAGCCCTTCAGCCCGCTGGGAGCGAGCGTCAGTCTGGATGGTCCTCTGGGGGCTTGTATGCAGTTGCACTTGTCACTTGCCATGTGTGGAGCCCTTGGGAACTGTCCCTTTCCATGTGACCTTGGGCTGTGCCTGGGACTGCATTTGCCCTGTGAGCCCTTGCTCTGCTGGTGTTGCTGGCAGGGTGCTCAAAGAGTACCCTCTTCCTGGATGTGATCATGGTGTCATTGTGGACACTGAGGCTCTGAGAGGCCTCAAAGTGACCGGCCTGACGTCTGTGGCTTGGCAGATGGTACCTGCATCTAGGCATGGTTGGAGCTGGGTGGTCGGGCAGGTCTGTCACTCTGTTGGCACGTGGCAAGGCTTCACTGGGACCGTACTCTGGGTCTGCAGAACTGGAGCCCGTGCAGGCCGCACAGAACAAGACTGGGAAGTACGTGCCACCGAGCTTGCGGGATGGGGCCAGTCGCCGTGGGGAGTCCATGCAGCCTAACCGCAGAGGTGAGGGGCGTTTGGGTGCCAGGCTGGCTGTTGGACGCCTCCCAGCACCCTGTAATTACCCCTGCGTTGGGGTGGGGTGGGGTGGGGTGGGGCCTTCCTCTCATAATCACCTGTTCCCTACCTGCACAGCTGATGACAACGCCACCATTCGTGTCACCAACCTATCCGAGGACACGCGTGAGACAGACCTGCAGGAGCTTTTTAGGCCCTTTGGCTCCATCTCTCGCATCTATCTGGCTAAGGACAAGACCACTGGCCAGTCCAAGGTGGGTGGGCAGTGGCAGGGGTGGGCAGGCAGGTGCTCGGGGGCTGTCCCAGCTCTGGCTGCTGAGCCTTGCCTTCCTCCAGGGCTTTGCCTTCATAAGCTTCCACCGCCGGGAGGACGCCGCACGTGCCATCGCCGGGGTGTCTGGTTTCGGCTACGACCACCTCATCCTCAATGTGGAATGGGCCAAGTAAGACCCCTGCTGCCCCAGACCCGCCCCCTCCCTGTCACAGATCACACTGAGGCTGACGTGGGTCCCACCCCAACTGAATAGTCAAGGCTGTTTTGAAGTGGCAGTCCTTTATTGTCATTTTTCTAAAAAACCTGGCAGAGAGGCCATCAGACATTAGTGACAGCTGCCTTGCCTGGGACCCACCACCAGTCTGGCAGGCCAGTTTGTGACCGCTAGCCTGACTCCTCATGTGCCCTGCCACCACACTGCCTGGCCTCCCCCCTCTCCCAGAGCCCCGCTGTTTGCGGTGGGGGGGTGTCTTGGGGTGCCATCACGTCCCGCATTTTGTTGTTCTCACCACTTCCTCCCTCTCTAGGCCATCAACCAACTGAGCCACCTGTCACCACTGCCACTGCTGTCCAGCCTAGACCTCTGTGACGGAAAGGAGCCTCCAAGAGCAGGGGACTCCAAGGGCATTAAAAGGCTCAAAGCACCCACGTGTGTCCTCCTCATTCTCGCGCGCCGCCTCCCTGGGGTGATGGCACCGGCTCTCCAGGTTGGTGTTGGCCCCCTAAACCCGCGGGGCCTTCTTGCTGTGGGTGAGGAATCCATCGTGTGCTGGCCTGGGCTTCAGCTGTCCCACCCTGGCCAGGGGCCCAGGCCTTTCTCTAGGGAGGCAGTGGCAGCTCGGAGGCCTCTTGGTGTGTCAGGGCCGATGCCTGCTGTGCTCTGGTTCTCACTCTAGTCCTGTCCCAGTGCCTGGTGGGGAGAGCAGGCGGGTCACAGGCTCAGCTCAGAGGCCTGGGGTTCTGGGGTTCGGAGATTGTCATTATCAAGAGGCAGGTCTTGGCCAGGAGTCTTGTCTTCTGGGTGGCCTCCGACACACTGTGGGCAGTTTTGGCGGCAACAGCTCAGGCTGGGCACCACAGCCATGTAGAGCAGGGGATGTATGCAGATGGCCAGGGGCACAAGGCCCCGCATCACCTGGAAGCCCAGATAGGGCCCCAGCTCCAGCGCCCCCCTAGCCTGGGTCTCATTTGCAAAGCCTGGGCAGCGGGTGTACCAGCGCTGCCGGGCATCCACGTTGAGCACCCGTGTGATGTGATAGGGCATGTAGGAACTGGCGTAGAGGACTACACCACTGGCCACCAGCACTGCCACACGCAGCTTCTCACCTGCTGTCATACCATGGCTGCGAAAAACGGCCCACCCCAGGGCACTATAGGCCACCAGGGAGAGCAGTAGTGGCACGCCACCACCCAGCCCTGCCAGTACCAGGCTGTAGGCTTTGTAAGCTGCAAGCTGGTGGTCATCTGCTGTCCCCAGGCACTTGATGCAGGCCTCAGGCCTGTCTGTGCTGCATGGACCTGCTCCCTGCTGAGGCCTCTTTAGGCGGGAGAAGCTGAGCATGGGGGCGGCCAGCAGGGCTGCCAGGGCCCAGCCAGTGGCACTGATGGCCCAGGCGTGCTTGGGCCGCAGGTGGCTGCGGGTGAAGAAGGGGTGGACAACACCCAGGTATCGGTTGAGGCTGATACAAGTGATGAAGATGACACCCCCCAGCAGGTTGCAGGTGAAGAGGAAGCGCTCCAGGCGGCAGGCCATGTCCCCATAGCGCCAGTTCTTGGGTGGGTAGAAGTAGGCGGCCAGCGGGGGCAGCGTCAGGGCGTAGAGCAGGTTGCTGATGGCCAGCTGGGCAGAGAAGACCACAGCTGGGTTCCAGGGCCGCTGCTCCCGACTGCCAAAGCGGTACAGGGCCAGGCCATTGCCAGCCATGGCCACCAGGAACGCAGCCACCAGAACAGGCCAGAGGAAGTCCTGCTGGTAGCTACTAAGCACAAGGTCAGCAGCTGCTGTGAACTTCTCAGGGCAGGACTTGTCACCTGTGGGCGGGGGATGTGAACAGCTGAGCTCTGTCCTTCCTCAGCATGGTTCCTGCTGCCCTCAGCCCACATCTGCAGTGAGGTTGATTCTTCCAGCTGGGGCCTGCGTGCACCATCTCCCTAAGTCCTCATGTCCTGCAAGGGATACCAGCCTCGGCTCCTGCTTGCAATGGAATCTGGCCCCGAGTCAAGAGATTCTATTACTTAGCTGATAAATTTACTGGGTCACGGAGGACCGGCTGAGCACTAGCAGAGGGCCAGTGCTCTCACGTTGGTCTGCATGTAGGTCAGCAATGACTACCCAGAGAGGGCCGTGGGCCCCAGGGCAGAGGAGCAGGAACCTCAGGGAGTCCCCAAACTTACACTAGTCCTTCTTGAAGTCGAATCTATCAGCGAGTCCCAGAGTGCTACATCAAAATCTGTCCCTCCCTAGCCCCTTCCAGGGCCAGCCCCCATCATCTCCCACCTATACCAGCCCTGTGAGCCCTGGACCTCCAGCTTCCTGCTTCACCTTCCGTGTCCTCCCTACAACCCAGAGGGTGCCTGTGAGCACCAGAGAGAGGTCTCATCCCTCACCCTGCACAGGCCTCCATGGCTCCTGCTTCAGAAAGGTCAGTTCTGCAGGGGTTAGAACTCAGCAGAAGAGCATGTTCTTGGCTTGTGCAAGGGCCTGGGGTTGACCCCAAGCACCCTCCTCCCCTCCCCAAAAAAAGTTCCATTCCACAAAGTCCTGAAGGAACCATCCCTCCCACTCTCCCTCGTGTTCTCCGCAGCCATGACTCCCTACAGCAACCCCCAAACCACCAGCTTCCTGGCTGATCCTTAAGACATGTCCAGCCCCTGGGCCTTTGCACTGGCTGTTCTTGCCCAGTTACTGAGTCACCAGCCAGTCATGCAAGTCACCCTCCCTGCTACCCCTGGAATCTGACCATGTCTGGAAGAGGACTGATCTCCCTCACGACGGACGTGCATCGCTCATGTCCTCTGGCCCCCTTTCCCTGCTCTTTTCCATAGCCAGGTTATCTTCTTTTGATCATTATAATGAACATTTCCACCAGAATTCCCTCCAGGAGGGCAGGAAGCGCCACTGTGTCACTGTCCCCAGTACAGCCTGGGGACCATGTGCCCCAGAGCTGGTTCTGATCCCCTTGTGTGCCCCTCCCTCAGCCTTAGCTTTGTGATCTGAAAACTTGGCCTGTTCTGTGGCAGGCTGGCCCCTAGCTCTTGGGGATGCACAAGCCCCGCTCCAGCCCAGCCTGCCCCTCAGAAGGCTCTGAAGCCTCCTGCCAAGCACCTTTTAACCCTCTCCCCTCTTCCTGAAGACCCCTGGCCAGCCCGTCTGTCACCACCTGGGTTGAGCAGCCTAACTCCTGCCATGTCTTCACTCAACTCTTAGTTAGTCCAGCACTTGCTCCTTACCTGAGATGGTGGCCGCCATGGCCTGATCAGCCAGCCTGTGGCCTGCCACCCACGCCGAGCCCTGCTGAGGCTCCACCCGAGTTACTAGCAGCCCCTCCCTCAGCCTGCAGAGCTAGTCAGACGCCCAGCTTCCTTCCTCATTGCACCACAGCAGAACGTAGTCTGCTCAGGGACCTGGGGGAGGGGAGACCAGGAGGGGCCCATGCCTCAGCACAGGACACCCCGGTCAACCACCTGTCCCCTCACTGCCGGAGGTGGGGGACATGCACCAGGATCTGGGGCAGAAACCAGGTTGGCCCTGGTTCCTAGGCTGTCATGTTGGGCACCAGGTGCCCCTGATCCATCCAGAAAGCAGACTTCAGACACCCGCCAAGTTCAGTCTCTTTATTGATGTGCGAGGGTGGGGGTGGGGGGGCTGGGGGTTGGGCTACCGCTCCTTTATGAAAGGAAACCGAGGGCTGCACAGGGGCAGCTCTTTTGGGCCCCAATCTGGGGCATTCCATGCATCACTGGGCTCAGCCTCAAGCCCTTCTCTTCAGTGGCCTTCCCCGGCTGCGCTCTCGGGCAGTCCCTCTGTGCCCCTGCTTGCCCTGGACTCCCGTGGGTCTACTCTTGGGCTTCAGAGGCCTCCGGCCACCATCCTGACCCCTGTCTCGGTTAGGCCTCCGCTCTTTCACCCGCTGCTTCTTGCCTGGAGGCCCCGTGTGCAGTCTCCGCTTGGTCACCCTGGGGAACATGTCTGTGGGAAGACAGTCGTCAGGGCCCCCAAGGACCAAAACCATGTCCTGGGTGCCCAGCTGCAGGACCCTGCCACACACCCTCATCAGGCTCCTCGCCCACTGCCTGGCGGAAATACTCCGCTTCATCTTCTTCCTCCTGCTGGCCAGCCCTCTCGGCCTCTGGGGGCACCCCTGGGTCCTCAGCATCACTGTCCCCATCAGCACGAGCTCTCTTCATGCCCGCCAGGCTCTTCTTCCTGCAGGAGATGGTGTCAGCCAGCCACCTGCTGGGGGGCCACCCCGCCTGCCCGGCTGTCCACACGGACCTGTGCGTCTCCCGCTGCTCCCGCTTGCGCTGGACATTCTGGTTCTGCTGATCCTGCCTCTGGGCCTTGAGCCGCAGCTTCTCCTCCTTGGCTGCCAGGATGGCCTGCAGCTCCTCCTCCGTCTTGTGCACTGAACAGGACGACACAGGTCACCAAGGTCCTGTGTGCTGTAGCACCACAACCTACCCTGGCTGGCCTCGTATCCCTGAACCCGAGCCTGGCCACCCCTAGCCTCACCAAAACTGTGGAACAGCACGTTGCCCTCCCCGACGCCCTCTTGGATCTTAATGAGCTGCAGCGTCATCCGGGGACCAATCTGGGGGGGATGGGGGGTGGAGGAAGAGTCAGTTCTTCCTTTGGGGCTGGGGCCTGCCAGAGAAGGTCACCCCTGCCACCGAGCATCACCTCTGTGAGCCGCACTGCGCTCTGCTGGGCCCGCATGTTGCCGCGTCCTGCAATGGCCTGGGGTAGCTCAGTAATGTTGTGTTCGCCATCGGGCTCCGCCTCACTTTCTGAAAGCCCTGCACCCCTGTGGGGACACATGGGACTCAGCAGGTGATCAGATTCCAGGGACAGTTCTGAGGCCCTTGGATTGCAGTGACCTCCCACCCTGAGCCCTCCTCACGTGGCCAGCAGCTCACTGATGTCCTGCAGGCGACTCATGTTGGGGAACTTCTCCTGCAGGAGCTTCTTCATCCCCCGACTTGCACCCACGGGAACCACTTTGATGCTACTGCAAGGCAGAAGCGGGGTGGGGTAGGGGTGGCGTTAGGTCACAGCGTCTGAACCCACTCTGCGCCCCTTGCCTCTGTGCAGTGCGTCAGAGCGTTTACTTTGAGACTGAGCAATCACGGAGTCTCAGCAGCTGCGCTGTCATCAGTCGCACAAGGAGGCCTGGCCCTGCACCCCTCACTCCCTCTCAGAGCACTCACTAATGGCGGAAGTCCAGCTCCTGGGAGTCAGGGTTGTAATTGATGAGAAGGCAGCGCTTGATGGTGTTCAGGTTCACCTGAGGGAAGAGAAGGGACCCAGTGAGCTGCCTGCAGCCTTCACAACCCTGGCCAAGCAGGCCCCACGCCACTAGCCATGCTCCAGGAACCTCATGTTTGGGTGGGGAGCACTGGTGATGCCATGCAGCTGCTGGTGCTGCATGTGGTGCCCACATCAGATTCCCTATTGAGCAGGAGAACTGCTGCTAACATGGACTAGGGGCTGGGGCTCTGAAAAAAAAAACTGCAGTCCTACTGGGCGCAGTGACACACGACTGTAATCCCAGCAGCTCAGGAGACTGAGGCAAGAGAATCCCAAATTCAAAGCTAGCCTCAGCAACTTAGCAAGGCCCTGCTTCAAAATAAAAAAGGGCTGGGGGTGTGGCTCTGTGGTTAAGTGCTCCTGGGTGGTTCAATCCCTGGTGCCAAACCAAACCCTGTAGTCCTTGGCCTAGCATGCCCAAGGGCCTGGGTTTAATCCCCAACTCTGATGGTGGCGGCAGTGGGGATGATGAGCCCCAAACAAAACTCCAGTCCTGCACTCTTTCACCCCCGCTCACCTTTTTATTTTCAGACAGGGTCTAAGTTGTTCGGGGCCTTACTAAGTTGCTGAGGCTGGCTTTGAACTTGCAATTCTGCCTCAGCCCTCTGAGGTGCTGAGATTACAGACACGCACTACTGTGCCCAACTAGTAGCACACTCTAGATTCTAACCTCAGGCCAATGACTTCATCTCTGTAAACCCGTTTCCCCTTTATCAAATAAGGTCATTAATAAAGGGCTGGTGGTACCCATTCCATGACCCATCCACCTACACCTGCCAAGACAAGAGGCCCAGCCTACCTTGTGCACGTTGATGGAGGGGAACAGGTTCTGGAACATGGTGGCCATAAGCTTCACATGCATGCCGTGAGGTCCAAAGTTGTTGAGTACCAGGAGGGGAGGGTGGGCAAACTGCTGTTCATGCATGCGGTGCCGGCGCAGCGAGGAGACCACATCGCGGACCAGTGTGTACTGCCAGGCAGGACGGGAGTGGATGATTATCACTTACATGTGGCAGGGGCCATCCCCAAGCCCAGCTCCTACCCAACATGGCCCCTGTACCACCTCCACCCCTCACCTTGTTGATCTGGAAGGTCAAAGTGGGGCCTCCTGGGAGCCGCATCAGTTTCTGCAGGAGAAAAGAGGATCAGTGCGGATGCAGATATTCAGCAGGGGCAGGGCAAGTGCTCTGCCTGTCTCTTCAGAGCGTTTACTTTGAAGCCAGAATCATGGCAGCTCAGAGGCACAGGGTTTCATCATGAGAGACAAGGAAGGAGAGGGCTTGGGGAGATGAAAGGTGTGGATGCCCACTCACAAAATAGACACTGGTCTCTGTTTTGCTTAGGATCAGGAAGTGTGTGACCCCAAGGGGCCCAGCCACTGCCACACAGTCCTTCAGCGAGTTCTTCTTGCGGATCTAGAAATTACAAAAAGGAAAAGAAACAAATAGCGGTATTCCTCACTAAGACAGTGACGTTCAGCTGAGGGTCCCGATCGCTAGAACCAGGGTTTAGTTAAGTGCCATCTCTGCCCCTTGCTTCCTATGCACCTTTCGTTAACAGATGAGCAATCAGAAGCCCAGTGAAGCCTTGCCCCAGGTCCTTCAGAGAAGCTACGCTTTGCTGTCCCCACTGCCCAACTAAGCCCCAAGCTAGATGCAGAGACCCTGTCCTCAGGTAGGTCCCGTTCTCCAGTCGGGACACAGCGGCCTCCCGAGGTTTCACAGAGCCGGCCCTCAGCCGCGATGACGGCCCAGGGTGGGTAGAGGCGGGCTGGCTGGGCAGACCTGCAGACGGGTGGCGGTGAGCGGCTCCATGACCCGACGCACGTCCAGGCTGAGCTGCCGGACGCTGCGACCCGCGCTGCCCCGCGTGAACACGAACGAGTGCGGTTGCGCGGCGTAAGCCTCGAGGTTGCGGAGCCGCGCCTGGGCGCGCGCGCGCTTCTGGTGCCGGGACTGAGGGGGCGACAGACGGACGGTGAGGGCCGCGGTCTCCGCCGGGACCCCGCCGGTACTCCCCGCACCCTCGGCCGCCGCGCCATACCCTCCCCGATTGCCCCATGCTGCCGTCTATTCCACGAGGCCGCCTCTGCCGGCCACTTCCGGCGCCGCGCGGCTCACTTCCGGCGCCGGAGCCGATGGCGTCATCGGGCGGGCCTGCGCACTAAGTGGCCTCGAGGGGAGCGGGGGCGGGGAGTAGGAAATCTTTGGAGGGGTTGCTATGGAGACACCGGTGCCTGTTTCTACGGAAACCAGGGCGGGGTTGAACAGCTCCGGGCGGCGGAGAAGCCTATCCACAGGTTCGAATCCCGCCCGGGCCCATTTCGTCCAGCGGCGCCATTACATCTCCACTTCGAGGATCCTGCAGTACCCCAAAGTGAGGGTGGAACTGTCTGCCCTGGGCTGCGAGCCAAGAGACGGAATGTGCACACAATGCTTGACACCATGGCACCAGGCACTCGGGAGGAGCCAGAGAGGGAATCGGGCCATGGCGGTTTTTCATTCTCGTCCTGTCGGCCGATGGGCTGAGGATGGAAACTCCACCTCAACTTCCGGAGACTTTGGGCACGGCGGGCGCTTCGTGAATAGTCCACCCCGCCCTCTTCCACCCAGAGCCCGGGTCTTGGCCTCAGCCTCTGGCTTTCCCCCAAAACCTCGCCTGGGAGGGGAGGCCACCCGCCCAGGCCCTCTCTCGGCTCCCCCAGCCCCTGCCCCCTCCCCATCCTTTGTCCTCCCATCTCGGCCTCCCTTTCCTCCAACATCGGCCGTCCGCATCATCAGCGGGTTTCCAGCTTTCCCTCTCCTCTCCATCGTTTCCCTGTCTCTCCCTTCTCCCCAGGTCTCTCCACTCGGTGGCCTCTCTCCCTCCCTCAGTCTGTCTGTGACTTAGGAGGTTTCTCCTCTCTCTGCTGCCAATGGGGAACCAGCGGGGGCTGAGGGTGGGGGGCCCAGCCCCGGCCCAGAGCCCAGCCTGGCAGCCTCACTCAGATCTGGGACAACCATTTCCTCTTGCAGCCCCGGAGTCCACTCGGGTTACTCCAGGAGTTCAGGACGGTTGGAAGTGGGGAAGGAGGCTGCTCCCCCGATGCTGGGCTGCTGGCCGGCAGGGCCTTCATACAGGTCAGAGGCCCCGGCCGGCTTCGGGGGGCGGGGGGTGGGGGTGGGGGGCTCTGCATGAATCTCTTTCTACCTCTGAGAAATGACTGCATGGTTATTTCCTCCTGTTCTGTCCCTGTGTGATTTGACTTTTGTGAAAATGTGACCCAGTGAATGAGGGACAAACATTCATGGTTTGGCAGATGGGCATCTGGGCGTTGCTGTGTGCCGGCTTGGTGTCTCTGTGCTGCCTGTGTGTGGCCACTTGTACCTGGCGTGTTCATGTCTGAGGTGCAGACCCGGACCCACAACCCGTGGATATTTCCCTTTGAGTTTCACTGGATGTGTGCCTGTGTGGCCATATTTTGAACATACAATTGTTGCCTAGGTCTTCGTTGTGTTTCTTGTGTCTTTTGTTCTTTTTTTATGGTGCTGGGGAGGGAATCCACTGAGCAATGTCCCTAGCCCTCGTTGTCTTTGTGGGTGTGCCAGATGAACTAGTAGTCATGTGTACATGAACTTCATTTGTCTATCTTTGCTGCTTTGTGCAGTACTTTGTCAGTTTTGTTGGGTAACTGCACGAGTGTGTGTGTCTTTGTTTTGTTGTGCACATGCATGTGACTGTTGTGTTATATGTGTGAGTTCAGGAGCCAAGCTACTGGGCTGAATCCCCTGTGATCCCTTTCTGGCTGCTTGATTGCAGGCAAGTGGCTCACCCTCTCTGAACTTTTTCCCTTTTCTAAAATGATGCTACACAGAGAATCTGGAGTGGGCTTCTAGGATTAAATGAGATAAAAGGTGTAGAGTTTAGAGGTGCGTCGGACACACAGTAGGTGCCCACTGATGCTCTCCATCATTATCCTTCTATGTGGGATGTGTGTCTGGGGCTGGGATCCTGCAGGTCCTACCAGTGCCTGCAGCCTCCCACGCTCTGTGCTCCACTGGGAGGAAGAGAAAGGACGTCCAGGGCACTGACCTGTGTTATCAGGCTCTGGTGGCCTGGGCAGGGGGGTCTGGCAATTCTGCCTCAGTTCTCACGTGGGAAAGGCTAAATATTTACAGTTGCTCCACTCCCAGATTCTGGGGGCCGGGGGTGGTTACCAAGTCTTCTCTCTCCTTCTTTCTCACCAGCCTCTCCCCTTCCTTAGCTCAGAGGCCCTCCTGGACCCTCGGCTTTTCCTCTGACTTCTTGTGCCTGCTGTGAGCTTCGCTGGATTCAGGGTCTTGGTCCTGAGAGGTGAGAGGTGGGAGTGCAGGTGGATGCGGATTCTCTTTGTCAGGAGACCCTGCCCTCTGCTTGGCTGGGCGGAGGAGGCTCCCAGGCCTCCTGCTCACCACCCCAGGCTGACACCATGAAAGGCGCTGGGTTTTGCACACATTCCAGCTCCCGGGGATTTGGTCCATTCCTGTTGTGGGAGACTGAGTGTTGGAAAGGGCGAGAGAAGACCCTCCCGACCCTGACAGCTCTTTCTTGGTGTGTCAGTAAAATAGCAAATGGGCCCTTCCTGGCCCCCCTGACTCAGAGTAGAACCCCAAGTCCTCCTCAAGGCCCAAAATACTGTGCACCCTATGTCCTGCTACCTCTCTGCCTTCATTTTCTGCTCTCCCTCTTGCTCACTCTGTTCCACACTCACGGGCTTCCCCTGCTGTTCCCATTCTCTCTTCCTTCAGGTTTTGCGCAAGTGTCGCCTTTTCAGTGAGACTTTTCCTGACCCCTCCCTTTAAGTCCCTTCTCCCCAGCTCCAGACTCTCCCTCTTCTTATCTGATTTTCCTCCTAAGCTCCATTGCTCTGACTTCCCTGCGGAGTATTCCATAGTTTTCTCAAGGACACTATCAGATCCAGGAGGGCAGAGATTCTGTGTTTTGGTTGAGGCTGTGTCCCTGTTGCCACACAAACAGGCACTTGGGCAGATGGGGTGGATAGGCGTGCAGGTTCCAGGGTCAGTAAGCACACACAGGCATGCATGTCCCCTTCTGAGACTGCAAAGGTGTGAACCCTGGTGGGCCTGGAGATGAAGGTGAGGAGGGCATAGGTGCGGCTCTGGCAGGGCCAGGGTGGTGGCCACAAGTATCCATTTGCCAGCAAAGATCCTGTCTGAGCTCACCTGCAGGAGCACTTGGAACACCTGGGGGCCTGGGGCCTGGGGAGGAGTGCTAGGCACTATTTTAGGCACAGGATAAGGCAGCCAAGGAAACCCCAGAAACCCCAGGGAATGCAGTGGGGGTATGCAAATTAGTAGCAAGAGTGGGGAATAAAACTGAAAAACACAGAGTGACAGGGAGTGCAGCCCAGATCTAGTGGGACCTGAACCAGGATGGGGGGGGGGCACGTTAAAATAGAAAGAATGTTGCCTGTGGAGCAAACTGCAAATGCCAAGGCCCTGAGGCAGGATCTGGCCAAGTGCTGTTCCTGGGTGCTTTGGAGGAGGTGAGGGCAGGGAGGGGACGAGGCAGAGTGTGTCACTGGGAGGACTAGGGCTTTCACGCTAAGTGAGGTGGGAACTACTGAAGGTTGAGTAGAGGAAGGATAGGAACAGATTCCTGAGGTCAAGGTGTCCACTGGCTGCTGAGGGCAGAGTGCTGGAAACCGGGGGCGGGGGGGCAGCTGCTGTAAGGAAAGCCAGGTGGTGTCATGAGCTGGGACCCTGGGAGGGGGCAGGGGGCTGGAGGAATTCAGGATCTAAACAGAGGCGCACAGGCTTGGCGAGGCCTGGGTCTGTTATGAAGGGAAGCAGATGTGCTCCCTCTGGGTTGGAGGGGGAGGGCTTTGTTACCAGACTTGCCCCTCCCCCATCTCACCACCCGCTTTCTTCTGCTTTTTTTTTTTTTTTTTGAGGTGCTGGGACGGCACCCCGGGCCTTGCACATGCTAAGCAAGCATCCTCCCTCTGCTTTTGCTCCAGCTCCTTATATTTTCCTTAATACCGCCGGCGTGGGCGACTCGGGCCTTTGCACTTGCGTTACCCTTGCCCGGGTTGCTTCTCTCCAGACTTTCCCACGACTTCCTGCCGTCACCTCCTCCTGGAAGCCTTCCCCTGTCCGCATCCACCTCCTCTCAAGCAGCCTCTGTGTGGACTCTTCACATCCCTCCCGCTCCGCGCTACCGTTATTTTTAGCACTTAGCACCGGCTGACTAATATACTCTACGAATCCTATATTTGTTTCTTGCCCACTAGGGCGGGGACTTTTGTGCTTTGCTCACGACTAGAAGAAAGTCTGGCACACAGTCGGCTCTCAATAAGCATTTGATGAATGAATGCAGGAGGCATTTTAACCGCAGGGCGCCTGGATCGGGAGCGGGATCGCCCTGGGGCGTCTCGGAGAAAGAGACGGAGACGGATCCCGGACCCGCGGCCAAGCAGGAGTGGACACACGCATGCCCGCGTGCGTCGCCCGGCCTGAGAATGGGGGGCCGGACGTGGGCTCCCGGTGCAACCGCCTCCTGTCCTCCCCTGCTTGCAGGAACGTCATGTCGGTGCCCCGGTGGCGCGCGCTGCCGCTGCTGCTCCTGCTGGGCGCGTCGTGGGCGCGGGCGGGCGCCCCGCGCTGCACCTACACCTTCGTGCTGCCCCAGCAGAAGTTCACCGGCGCCGTATGCTGGAGCGGAGCGGCTGCCGCACGTCCCACTTCCGAGGCCGTGAACGCCAGCGAGGTGGCGGCGCTGCGCATGCGCGTCGGCCGCCACGAGGAGCTGCTGCGCGAGCTGCAGAGGCTGGCCGCCGCCGACGGCGCAGTGGCCGGCGAGGTGCGCGCGCTGCGCAAGGAGAGCCGCGGCCTGAGCGCGCGCCTGGGCCAGCTGCGCGCTCAGCTGCAGCATGAGGCCGGCACGGGGGCGGGGCCGAGCCAGGGGGCGGAGCCTGCCGCTGCGCTGGCGCTGCTCGGGGAACGCGTGCTCAATGCGTCGGCCGAGGCTCAGCAGGCCGCAGCCCGCTTCCACCAGCTGGACGTCAAGTTCCGAGAGCTGGCACAGCTGGTCAGCCAGCAGAGTGACCTCATCGCCCGCCTGGAGCGCCTGTGCCCGGGGGGCGCCGGCGGGCAACAGCAGGTAACCAGAAAGCCTTTCTCAGTAGCATCTGTTTGCTGTGCACATCATCTGTGAAATGGGCCTTCTGCAACCCCACGATGTTATCCGCAGTTCCGAAATCCGAAAAACCTGGAAACGAGATTCCTATCCGTTCATTACTTATTTGGGTCAAAATATAATTGGGGGCTATTTATGGCCTTTACTTATCCATTTAATGTGAATATTCATATGCTCCTCCACTCAAGCATATTATTACCTTGTACAAGGACCAGTGACCGTGCATCCCTGTCATTCAGAATTTTGCCATGCCATTCTGAATTCTAGAACATATCTGGCCCTGGATTTTGCATAAAAGATAGTTTCTCTGTGATAGTCCCTATCTTACGGTGTTGATGGGAGAATCTGTTAAATAGCAGGTAGGACATGCTCCTGTTATTCCAGCTTCACAGAGGAGACTGAGGTGCAGTTGAGTTAAGCTCTCAGCACCAAAGAGAATTTTAGCCCAGCTCTAGCTGTGCTTGATGACCAAGAGAGAATCTCCAGGGGGGGATTTAGTCCTAGGGCTGGGACGTGTCCCCCACCAAGTTCCTGTTGGGGCACTGGGAGAGTCTACATCCTCTCTGGCCCTGAGGAGACCATGCCTCCTGAGCTAGGCATCGATGCAATTGCACTTGACTTTTTCCATCGCCCCAGGTCCTGCCCCCGCCCCTGGTGCCTGTGGTGCCCTTGAGTCTGGTGGGCAGCACCAATAACACCAGCAGGAGGCTGGACCCAGCCCCAGAGCCCCAGAGAGACCAGACCCGGAGACAACAGGGCCCCTTGGCCTCTCCTATGCCTGCAGGGTCCCTTGTGATCCCCACCAAGCCATCAGGTAAAATGAGGGGGTGTGAGGAGCCAGGGGATCTCCATTGCAGTGTGGGTGGAAGGAAATGGTAGAGTCAAGCTTTTCATGGGAGAGTCTTCTCATAGTGAGAAGACTGGAGGAAAGGCTGCTTCTATCTTATAATGAAACGCTTATATAAAGACAAAATTTCTTACTATGGTGTGAAAATAGGAGAGAAAGCATGAGGGGAGGGACTCTCATTTTGATGAGGGGACAGCAAGTGGAGGACTGCTGCTTGGGTGAGTGGAGTTGGTTCAGAGTCTAAGTTCAGGACATATATTCTGGTGAGGAGATGACAGAACTGAAGAGCCCTGGGCTCCACGTTTGCTCTTATGAGAGAAGGACTTGCGAGGTGAGGTGAGGAAGTGGCTGCTGGTGTTACTTGGATGAGGGAAGGGGAGGGCAGAGTCTGTTTTGTGAAGGGACCAGCGAGAAGGAGGACTCTTGTTCTGCTGAGGAGTTGTTTGGCCCGGCTGTGCCTTCATCCCTGTGCCCTTAGGCCCGTGGCAGGACTGTGCGGAGGCCCACCGGGCAGGCCACAGCCAGAGTGGGGTCTACGAGCTGCGACTGGGCCGGCTCGAGGTGTCTGCGTGGTGCGAGCAGCAGCTGGAGGGCGGAGGGTGGACGGTGATCCAGCGGCGCCAGGACGGCTCCGTCAACTTCTTCACCACCTGGCAGCACTACAAGGTGGGCAGGGCGGGGCGGCGCAGGCCGGGGGGCCCAGGGCACTGTTCCTCACCTCCCGACTCTCCCGTCTCGCCAGGTGGGCTTTGGGCGGCCTGACGGGGAATACTGGCTGGGCCTTGAACCTGTGCATCAGCTGACCAGCCGGGGGGACCACGAGCTGCTGGTGCTCCTGGAGGACTGGGGGGGCCGTGGGGCACGTGCCCACTATGATAGCTTCTCTCTGGAACCTGAGAGCGACCACTATCGCCTGCGGCTTGGCCAGTACCACGGTGACGCTGGAGATTCTCTTTCTTGGCACAACGACAAACCCTTCAGCACCGTGGATAGAGACCGAGACTCCTATTCCGGTAGGAGTTCTTATTCTGGAGGGAGGGTAGGGCAGGTGGGATTCCTGTTCTGGGTAGGGAATGAAAAGCAGTGGACAAGATTCCCCTCTGATAAGTATCAGAATAGGAAAGCAAGAGAAGAAAGGCTAGGACTTTTATTCTGATGAGGGGATGGGGAGCCTAGATTAGCTCTCTAATGAGGCAAGAATTAGGATTCTGTTCTGGAGGGCATAGGGTGAGAACCAGGATATTCTTTCTCACTCTTGCTCTTTTTGTGCGTGTGCGCACACGTGCGGTGCGGATCAAATCTTGGACCTCACACAGGCTAAGAAAGCTCTTTACCACTGAGCTGCACCCACCCCAGCCCAGTCTCTTATTCTAGAAAGGAAGCAAGAATTTTTTTTCCTGATAAAGGAATGAGTGATGATGACTAATTTTAAAAGTGGGAAAGGTGTGTCTTGTACTTTGGAAAGGAGACAGGGAAGGCATTAAGACTATTACTCTGAAAAACAAAGTGGGAGGCCAGGGTTTTTATTTTGGAGAGGAAATGGAGGATCAGGGCTTATATTCAGTAAGACTGGGGAGGACCAGGGGATGGTTGGCAGATGCCTTGCACGTGGCGTGCAGGGGAGGCTCCTTTAATCTGGTGAGGACACCCACTCTTTTCCCCTCAGGTAACTGCGCCTTGTACCAGCGCGGGGGCTGGTGGTACCATGCCTGTGCCCACTCCAACCTCAATGGTGTGTGGCACCGTGGTGGCCACTACCGAAACCGCTACCAGGATGGTGTCTACTGGGCTGAGTTCCGTGGCGGGGCATACTCCCTCAAGAAGGCCGCCATGCTGATCCGACCCGCCAGGCCCTGACTGCCCGGGCCTCTGTCCGCCTGGCCCCAGGGTGTTTCCCAGCAGAAGACTAAATTGTCCTGGCCGCACCTTCTCTGTGGCTCAGTGCTGAGCCTGTCCCGGACTTTCCCACTGTGGATTTGCTCCCCAGAGCCCCAGAATGGGACCCAGGAGTCCCCCCACCCGTGTCGCGGGCCCAGACAGCTCCCCAAGGGCACTTGTCTCGGATTTGAGCTCACATTTTATAACAACACAGAGCATCCAGAGCCCGCGTCTGGTGTGTGCGCCCGCAGGGGTCACTCCCTGGGCCTGCCCTCCTCCTCCTCCTCCTCCTCTTCCTCCTCCTCCTCCTCCTCCTCCTTCAGGTCCTCCAAGATGAGGTTGTCCAGGTCCTCCAGGAGGCCGCCCTGGCTCAGGCAAGTGGCCACCGTGGAGCCGCTGCTGACGTGGGGGTTGCTGGGGTGGAGGACTTTGGGCAGATGGTTCTGTTTGCGGCTCTTGGGGTGTGCACAGGACGTGCCAGGCACATGGGGCTCTGGGGAGGGAGAGGAGCTGAGGTCATGGGGCCCAAGGACCCAGGAGACTCGGGATGAGGCAGCAGGGGCCATGTGGGGCTCTGTGGAGGCCAGGAGGGGACCGAGATTATGGACCACAGATTATGGGGACAGAGCTGCAGGAAACCGAGCACATGGAGACTACAGAGAGCCAGGGACACGGGGTCAGCTGGGACTGCAGGGATAAGACAGGAGCCCAGAACAGAGGCCACGGGACCCTGGATGTGGGCCACTGGGGCGAGACCTCAGAACCCCATGGGCAAGACTCGGGCCAAGGAAAGGGGAGCCAGGAAGATGAGTGCAGGTGGGGCTGTGGCCGCACAGGGGACACAGGCTGCCCGAGCGGTCAGTGGTGGGGCTCACCTCGCCGGTTGTAGCAGTCGGCGGCCGAGCAGGAGTGGGTGTGTGTGCTGCGGCGGTCCATGTCCCGGTCCCAGCGCGGGGGGAGGATCCGTGTTGGATACACGGGAAAGCCGCACCCGTAGCAGGGGGACGGGGACCCCATTTGTGCCCAGCCCCTGGGGGCGGGCAGGGCTGTGAGGGTCCGAAGGCGAGGCTGGGCTGGGGTTGGGGCCAGGACAGGGTGGGACAGGACTAGGAAGGGGCAGGAGTGAGGGTGGGGTGGGGGTCAGTGCCCTCACCGGAAGTTATGCCGACACTTCGGGCAGTGGAACTCGGCCACGCCCCACATCTTGTCACAGGGCACTGGGTCGTAGCGCTTGCGGCATTTCCGGCACCGAGACACCTGGGGTGTGGAGAGGGCACTGGGTTGTCGCCAGTGCAGTGGCACCGCAGCGGCTGCTGGTGCTTACCTGCTGGATTGTGCGTCCAGCAGGTCACACTGGCCGCCTATGACAGCCACTGCGGCAACGTGGACACCAGGGCAGTGGGCACACAGCGGGGCCCCACTCCCTGAGGAGCAGCACACCACAGGCCCCCTGCCCCACAGGCCCCGGGCAGAAGCCAGCCGTGGTGGGTCGGGGGTCGGGGCTCGGGTTTGACTCCGTAGGTGCCCAACTGCACAGGGTCAGGCTCTTGGGCAGGAGTTTGGCTTCTCAAATCCAAGGTCAGGAGCCCACCTCGGTGCCACGGGTTGAGATCAGAGCTCACAGTCGGGCTCCAAGGTTGGAAGTGCCACCGAGCTCTCGGAGGCTCATGTCCTTTGGTCAGAGGGGTGGCTGCTGAGGATGGGGCTCAGGAGTGAAGTACGGGACAGAATCAAGGTCGGGCTTGGGAGCATCACCTCTTTGCGCTGGGGCACACGGCGCCACCAGACGTGATCACAGGAGGAACAGGCAAACTGGCGGTCCACGGCAGGGATCAGGTCGTCCTGGGCACGCTGGAACATGCGCAGGTTGGCCTGCGTCAATGGCAGGAGGGAGGTGGCCACCGCCTGTGGAATGGGGTTGGTGGGGACAAGAAGGGGGGTCACCCTCCTCCACAACCATAAATGTCAGCCCTCTTCTCCCTACAAATGCGTCCCTGTCCTGCCCCTGTGCTGTCTGCCATGGATGGATGGATGGATGGACGAACAGATAGACAGATGTCCTCTCTGCCTTTCCTCCCTCATCCCACACCTGGCCTTGTCCCAGCCACCAACACACCTGGATATCCCGATCCTGCTTCATGTCCTCTGGTGGGTCCTAGATGGAGACACTGGGGCAGAAACTGGGCAAGGCTCTCGGGCCTCTTTGTACCCTTGTTTGTTGGGGGAGGGGTCCCTGCATGGTGGCTCCTGGATGGGGAGAGGTGGCTCTGGCTCCCTTTGAGAATACGGTGCCCCTAAGTCCCAGGAGCTGACTGAGCCATGCCTCACTTACTGAGAACCACCAGTGTGGCCTCAGGTATCCAAATAACAGCCCTGGGAGGAGGGCGTACCTGGTGTTCCCATTGCTCAGATAGGGAAACTGAGGCCTAGAGCCTGAGACTACCCCAAGTGAGCATGGCTGGCGGAGCCTGGACCCCATACCCTCTTACTGCCTGAAGACTCACCACACGCTGTCGACACTGACATATTGCTTCCTTGAGGCCACACTGCCTTAGGCTAAGTGTTGGGGACATGGATTCAGACAGAGGCAGGTTGGAATCCCGGCTCTGTCCCTTCCAACTGTGGAAAGTAGGGCAAGGTACTTGTCCCTGGGGTTGTTATTGAGGGGCATCTCAGAGCCAGGCTCTGATTCCAGGTGGCCAAGGTTCAAATCCCAGCTAGCACCTGCTTGCTGCATGAACCTGGACAATGATGTCATCATGCTGGGCCTTACTTTCCTTGTCTGTAAAATGGGGTGATGCATATTAAGACCTGTCTAATGGGGTCACTGTTGCCACAAAAAAGTCAGTTCCTGGAGTCCTGCCACAAGGGAAATGCTCAGTCAATGTATTGCTATTATTTTTGTAATCCTATGCTCTATGTATATAAAGAGACAACATACTTTATTATACTCTTTAATAACTCTGTGATTGGCCTTTCCATCAGGGACATTCAGACTATCAGCCACCAAAGCTGTCTTACGAGGCAGGTGACCATCTTGCACCTGTGCATCAAAGCCATTCATTCCTTCCTTGCACACACGGGTTCCCTCCTCCCTCCTCCCCAGCTCCTAACCCTCCTTCTTCTGGGGCCAGTACCCTTTCTGACTTCCCTCCTCCTGGAAGATCTTTGTCTTCCTCTTCCCTCCGCTTCCTTTTCTGGGGCTTCCTTCTCCCTATCGTGAAGTCTTGGCAGCCCCAGCCCCAGGCGGCCTTCCCTGACCTGGAGGCCTCTCCAGCCTGGCTTGTTGCACGGCCTGTTTCAAGCCCCGGCCAGAAACGGATTGAGAGGAAAAAGTGCGTGAGGTCGGTTGATGAGTGGAGGACCATCTGTGGCCAGGCCCTCTTGCTCCAGAGTGGGTCACCACGGTCGGCTCGGGTCCCCTCTCTCTCCTTCGGGTTACCCAGTCCTTGAGGCGAGGGGGCAGGTTACCTGGGCATCCAGGTCGTTACTCAGTTCCTGTCCATCTCTCTGCTTTACCCCTGATGGGAGAGTCAGGGAAGGAAGGGCCCTTGAGGGGTCTGTTGGAGTTCCAGGTCCCGCGGTCTCCCCAAGGCTGGGACCTCCGGGGAGAGGGTCTCCCTCCACACCTCTCCCTAGACCATGTGGTCCCAGCGCCAACTCCAGGGCCCGGCCGCTCACCGTACACGATGGAGCGTCCCACTCCGGTGTGGTCGCTGCCGAATTTCCTCATAAGCGCCCCTGCCTTCTTGTTGGACACCTTCCCATGAAACTTCTCCCGGAGGCGCCGGACGCTCTTCTCCAGCTGTGATGGGGACAGGGGCCTCGGGTAGCGGAAGGAGAGGAACGACGGCCCTCCCCCATCTCTGGGTATCTTTCTTCGGGCCTGAACTTGACCCTTGGTTTTGGCCTCCGCTCCCCCCGCATCCCTTTAAGGCATTTCCTGGAAAAAGCCAAAGTCCTCGCGGGGCGCTGGGGGAGGGTGCGGGCTGGAGCGCGCGGCCCGGCCTAGGGGACGGGGCGGGGGACGGCCAGACAACCCCTGGTCCCTGACCCCTGACCGTGCAGACCCCGCTTTCCCTCGGGGAGGCCGCGCTTCGCTCTGGGGGACGTGGGAGTCGCTCTCTGCTCCGAGGGGGCCTAACGTCACCGAGGGGAGGCTGACTCCGGATGGAGTCCCCCGGAACTGCGAAGCCCCCTCGGCGTTCCGGGCCCCTCCTCGGCGTCGGTCGCGACCCCGGCCCAGCCGAAGCCATCTCCTACCTCTACCCCTTCCTGAGACATGGTGGCGGCGGCGGCGGCGCAGGTCTCCGCGAGGGTCCGCACTGCGCGGCGCGGCCGCCCCCTACCTGGGCGCGCCCGTCGGTCCGGCAGCCGCGCAGGGCAGGGGGCGGTGCCTCGAGGCGGCTCCGCCCTTCCTCCCCGGCCCCTCTTTCGCTTTCGATTCTTGGGGGACGGGGCGCGCTGGCTCCGCCTCGGCTCCGCCTCTGCTCTGGCGCCCCGAACCCAGCCTGGCGCCCGGGGTCTGCGCCCTGCGGCGGAGCGCGCACCCCTCGGGCGGGGGAGGCGGCGCGGCCTCTGCAGTCGGTCACATGTCCCCACGCTGCGCGGGGTCCGCGTCTTCACGTCCCTCGTGGGGGCGGGGCCGCATCCGAAGGCCGCGGCTGGTCCCCGCGGCCCCCACCTCCGAGCGCGCTCCCCAGTTCGTCACCCTGCGCCCCGCGCTCGCGCTCTCGCTCTCCCGGGAATCAGGCTTCGGTTAGCACCTGGCCCCTTTTCTTGCTCTGAGTCTTTCACCTGGCCACCGTCATTTCTTTGAAGCTCAGTTTACTTCTCTGTAAAATGGGCACGACAGGAAAGCCTACCTCCTGGAGCAGAGTGTGTGCCGGGATTCCCCGGCAGGAAACTTAATGGCGCCTGCCACACCGTAGACACTCCCTTGGTCACTGGGCCACCCACGGTGGGACCGCGGTAGGGGCAGACGATGAGGGTGGTTAAGAAGAATACAGATTCCTAGTCCCTAACAGCCAGGCAGAATCCGCTGCCTCGTGGCGCCAGGGAATCCACACTGTAAGTCGGGAGGTTGACAGTCCCATGGTCCACGACTATTCTAACGCAGTGGGCTGGGGAGCCCTTAGATGGGCTCTTGTCAAGCCTGAGGACACCAGCCATGGCTTCATGGAGAAGGGGACAATTTGTACAGAAGCCCTGAAGTTTAAGGTTT